AAACTGAAGGTGACGGAGGTTCCACTCTTGGTCTCTCTAAATGACCCAGAGTTCTGTATCAGAGTGAAGGATCCACCTGTGAACTGGGTTTTTACAGAGCAGGTGATGTCAACCTTCTCTCCCCATATGACCTCTTTGCCAGGACGGAGAGAGATGCTTGGAGTGGGTAGAGTCACTGAAAAAAAATGGATATAAGAAATTGTATTCCTTCCATCCACATTATATGATAACAGATTAAATGTACAATAGAACACATGGTCTGATCTGTTGAATTTCAGTGTAGCAAATTGTGATATAAAAAGCAAATCAAAAAATACCATTGAAAATAAGAAACTGTAAAATGCCCACTAACTATCAGAGCTGGACAAACATAACCTGCAATCTTCTAGTGTATCATAATGCAAAGTTTAATGTACAAGCAAGCAAAGTTTATTTATATAGCGCTTTTTACAACAGGTGTTGTCACCAAGCAGCTTTACAAGGAAATCAGCATTACAGAAAGAAATCCGGGTCCAAGCCCCCATGAGCAAGCCAGAGGCGACAGTGGCAAGGAAATACTCCCTAAGAAAAACAGGAAGAAACAGGAAGAGGCAGCAGCATTAGACGCACAGGATGGGCAGCTATTCAACTCGGCAAAGAGAAGAAAGAAAGGAAAAACACACAGAGTCAGTTCTGTAATGGGTGATTGATTAATTTGATTAGCTTAAATGATTGATTAGTTCAAATGATTAATTTTGATTAGTTCAACAGCAGTAGCATCAGTGGGGTCAGGTTGTGAGGGTGAGGTTTGCATGGTGTTGTACAGCAGGAGGCTCAATGGTGGTAAGCCGGTCCAGAGGGCTGGCGAGCAGTGGCACCCGATCAAGGCAGAAGAGGCAGCAGCATCAGAACGCATAGGATGGGCAACTTTTCAACTCGGCGAAGAAAAGAAACGAAAAACAAACAGAGAGCCAGTTCTGTAATGGGTGTCAGTTCTGTAATGGGTGACTAATCGCAAATTACAGTGTTAGCAGAGCAGCGGAGACTCTGGCAGGTATAGAACTGACAGAGAAAACTAATTACCAAAGGCTTGACTATACAAGTAAGTTTTTAGCCTAGACTTAAAGACTGAGGCTGTGTCTGAGTCCCGAACATTAACAGGAAGACTATTCCAAAGCTGGGGGGCTTTGTATGAGAAAGCTCTCCCCACTAACGTAACTTTATTTATTCTAGGTACTAATAGTAAGCCAGCACCTTGTGATCTAAGTAGGCGTGATGGTTCATAGTAGGAGAGAAGTTCACTCAGGTACTGAGGGGCGAGTCCATTTAGTGCTTTGTAAGTCAGTAAGAGAATTTTATAATCAATGAGAAATTTAACTGGCAACCAGTGTAAGGTTGATAAAACTGGGCTGATATGGTCAAACTTTCTGGTTCTAGTAAGAACTCTGGCTGCAGTGTTCTGGACTAGCTGAAGCTTGTTAAGGCTTTTGCTTGGACATCCAGCCAGCAGGGCATTACAGTAATCAAGCCTAGAAGTAATAAATGCATAAATGCAGTACATATCTAGATTCTACACTATGGTGCAAAAATCAGAGCCAACCTTTTCATTTATTTAATTTCCAGTCAAAATGACAATTAAATACACGTTAGTCTTTTACAGTGTCAGATTTGTAGCTGTACTCATGGTTTTTACTGATGGTTTTGGTCAGATCAGTGTCCAGATTTAAGCCTTATGGAGAATAATGGTCTCATATTAAACACAAACTAGTTTGGCAATGTTTTCTACTATAAAGCCATCAGTAGCCACGTTTACATGCAGCCTAATAATCCATTAATAATCTGACTAATAGCTCAATCGGAATAGAATACGTCCATGTAAACACTTCAATCGGAATAGTCTAGTCCGAATGAGGCCATTCGGAATACAATTTCTATCCAGCTGAATGAGGTGGGTAAACCTCTAAATAATCCATTAAATAGACGAATAATAGCCATGTTAACGCCTGAATCCGATTACATTCCAATCGGAACGTGTAAGTACGTTCTGCGCATGTGCGTCGCGTCATGGTGAAAGTTTATAACGTTCAACATGGTGGGAGCAGAAACTGGTCTGCAGAGGAGAGAAGTTTATGCTCTGATCTTTAAAAGACGGCGGTGGGACGGACGTCTAGCTTATGTGTCTCAGAACACAACGTCTTCCTTTCGCTGCTTCCTTTATAAGCACATGTGAAGTACATTTTCCTGAGTCTGACATCATTTTAAAGCAATTAAAAACACAAGCACGCCAACTGGAAACTCATCTCATGCGGACTGGACCACATGTGATGCTCGTTGTCATGGTAATGTTTACTCTAAGTGCTACTCCACGCATGCGCGTCATTTTGCATCGGATTACTTGTAGTGAGCATGTAAATTTTCCATCAAATTGTTTAATAGAGTGTGCATATAAACACCTCAGTCTGAATCTGTAATCGGATTGTATTTAATCGAAATGGCAAAAATCTTTGCATGTAAACATAGCCAGTGCTAACTGGACCAGTACTGATTTTTCTTTCCGTAAAAAGCTGTTTGCAAGTTTTCCCACATTTAAAGAAATCCAAGAGAAAAGCTATTCCAAACTAACTAACTTTATCTATTTGTTTCATTTACTGATTAAAGATTTGTTGTTAAGACTATAAAAAGGCAATTTTGCTTAGCCCATTTTTTTGCACAGGAGTGTACGTATTGGTGTATCAAAGTGTATGATCATACGGGTCTACTAGCAGTGGCAAAAATCCCAGTCTTCAGGAAATTCTTTTTGGAAAAGCATGACTGTAAAGTTATATTTGCAGTACTGTGAAAAGAGCAATGGAATGACCACTGCAATAATCGTATGTATTTGTGCAGAGTAAGTAGTGTCCGGCAGAGTGATGGGATCCGTCTTGTTGTCCAGGTCCTCACACTCTGTGAGTCTGCCCGTAAGTAGAAGTATGAAAAGGCTATGCTGGGGTGTGTACTGTCCCTGATGTTGTAAGCCCTCCTGATGACCCTGGTGTGGCAAGGCAGCTCCTGAGATGGACTGTGCAGTTCTGATCACACACAGTGCAGTTTCCACACTCTATCGTACACACCTGTAGAACTTGCTGAGAATTTTGGTTGGCGTACCACATTTACTCAGCCTTCTTAGAAAGTCTCTTCTGGGACTTCTTGATGATTTGTCATTTGTTGTGAGACCAAGTGAGATCCTCACTGACGTGAACCCCAAGGAATTTGAAGGTTTTCACCCTCTCCACTTCTGTCTCACCTATGTGTAGTGGTGTGTACAGCTCTCCTTCCTTCTTGGGTCAATAGTCGTTTTCTTATTCTTGTCTGCATTTACGGAAAGATTGCTGTGAGGACACAGTGCTTTTCTTGGGGCAGGGCACAATGGTGGTGGACTTGAAGCAGGTGGGCACAAAAGCTTGCGTGAGGAACAAACTGAATATGTCTGCAAACACATCAGCCAGCTTTGGTGAACAAACCCTGAGCGCACGCCCGAGGATGCTATCTGGGCCATCTGCCCTTTGTGGCTTAATTCTCCTCTGTGCTAATGTAACCAGTTAATCCAGAAGCATGGTTCTCTAAATTAACCGTAGAGTTCTCTCTCAAAGCAGTACTGTTAAATACATCCCACTTTACACTTTACAGCAGTCTTGAAGCACCAGATCAGTTTCTTCCTTCCACACTTTAATGGTTTTACTTACAGGAGGAGCTTGCTTGAGGTTTTGTCTGTATGATGGAGCCTGGTCTCCATGTGACCGAGAGCACAGCATTCCCTGATCTCATGCTGGGTTATAAACCTAGTTCGCAGTTCATCCAGCTTGTTTTCGAGGGAGCGAACCCTAGCTAGCAGCAGTCACACAGCCCCAGCCTTTAACCTAGCATGTAGCCTGGATATCTTGCCACGCTTCCGCCTTGGCTACTCTGTCTGTCGGCTGCATCGCTCATCCAAGGCTGGAACGTAGAAGAAAGCCGAAGTCAGAAAGGCTAAAGGTAAGTTTGTGGTGAACTTTACCGTGATCCAGAAGTGGCTCTCTACTGTATCTTACTGTTGTGTAGGTGAACTGTACATTTAAGAGAAATACTAAAGCTAAAATTAGGACAATGCTATTAGGAGGACAACGCGAAGACGCTTGGGGGGAACGCATCTTGGTAAAGTGTAACAAATACAATGCACTCCATATAAAACCTCCAAAACAAAGTAAAGAGGTACCTTGTTCTGATCTGAAATAATGCAAATATTACAATACAATCTCTCAAAACAAGCCCCATAAATAAAACTTTGAATGGGTTAACAAAAAGATTTTGTCTCCAGGCTAAACCAAGACACTGTCTGTGCCCTGACAGATTTGGATTCTATGATGCATGTTAGAGTGCTTCTCCGCTCTTTTCAAGCAAATCAAATCAAATCAAATCAAATTTATTTGTATAGCGCTTTTTACAACTGATGTTGTCACAAAGCAGCTTCACAGAAATCCGTTTAGAACAAAGTTTCAACATGAACTGTAAATCCTCCAGGTGAGCAAGCCAGGGGCGACAGTGGCAAGGAAAAACTCCCTCAGAGCTGAGGAAGAAACCTTGGGAGGAACCAAGGCTCACATGGGGGGACCCATCCTCCTCTGGTCAAACTACGTACAAAATTATTATTCTACTAATATTAATAGTAGTAGTAATAATAATAATAGAAAGCTGTTAAAATGGTACACCATCAACAGAGAGAGACTTCAGCACACTGCCTCATTAAACACACCTGATTCAGCTCATCAGCTAATTATTAATAATGAACTAAACTCAGAGCATTAGACGAAGGTAAATGTTAATCTCCTCAGCACTTTGGCCTGGAAGGTCACCGATTTGACATGCCTGATTTACAATAATCGGCCACTTTTCTTGTCAAGTTTTGCCAGAAAAAAATACGGCTAAAAATGCAGCTAATACTCAATATAGTCTTTGTCTCCTGCCCATGGGATAGAATGGCCTAACACAAATATAGTCTCCCTCACCCCTTTGAGGGTCCACCAGCTGTCCCTGGCAGGGGGAGGCCCTGGCTGGCCTGTGAAGAGTTCCTGCCTGAGTACTTAAATCTGTCTCAAAAATGGTAATGTGCTAGAGAGTTATCAATCTTCCTCACTCTGCTTAGCTACTGCCTTGTTACAGTCAGGTTACGATCATTTCTAGGGGGCAACTAATCAAATAATCCTATCAAGTCTGGAACGAAAATCATAAAATAGGTTATTTCTGATAGACCAACTTTCCAACATGGAGTCCATGGAGCTTTCTTGTCTGATGTCACTAGCACAGGTAGGTGTTATCATTGTTGTAAGCTAAAGGTGTGGGTGATGATGGACAGGTGGTGGATTCCATGAATGGTCTCCCAGCAGGCAAGACACTGAGTGACAGTTACAGTTGTATTTATATATTTGTATACTGTAAATACTTATTAAATTAATAAATTATAAAGAACTTATTATTTATCTCCTCTTAAACTGTTTTATTTACTTTATATTTAAACATGGTTTGTGAAGAGATCTCCAGAACAGTGTTCAGTTAGTAAGAAACACTTTTGACAGCCATTATTAAGCACAACATGAAAACATCAAAACCACTTCAAAATGTCAACAAAGATTTGAGGACCAAAACTGCAATAAGAATTAGTCTTACCTATTACAGAGATATTAACAGAACTGCTGTGTGGAGAACTGAAATCACGACTGGAGACTCTGGTCTGGTACTGGCAGTAGTAAGACCCCTCATGAACAAAGTCCACTTCTGGTAAACTGAAGGTGACGGAGGTTCCATTCTTGGTCTCTCTAAAGGACCCAGAATTCCGTATCAGAGTGAAGGATCCACCTGTGAACTGGGTTTCTACAGAGCAGGTGATGTTAACCTCCTCTCCCCATGTGACCTCTTTGTTGGGACTGAGAGAGATGCTTGGAGTGGGTAGAGACACTGAAACAAACATTGGGTAAGAGAAAATTTGGTGAGTTACAGAGGAACACTGGGGAAACTGTGACAAAACTTCTAACACGCAGCACCCAAGATGTGAATACAAAAGCCCATCAATATCAGGAGTCAGGTTGGAGGAGGGAACAGGAACACTTGTAGGGATATGACCAAAAACTGGGGACTGAGCACGGAGTGGCTAGGAGAAGGAATACCAGACTGGATGGGAGATGGAACATCAGACTGGAAAATAGACAAGACATTGGACTGGGACTGTAGATTAAACTGGTTGAGGGTCTGGACAAGGGACTGGATAACCACTGAGACTGGGACAGGAACCATGACAGCAACGAGGACTAGAACAGTGGCAGGAACAGGGACAGTAAGAGACAGAACAGAAACAGGGGGAAATACAGAATGTGGACTATAAGGTACTGAAGGGAACTGGAATAGCAGCCAGGCAGAGAACTACAAGGGTGGCCAGGCAGGGACCTGCAGGGGGTGGTTGGGCAGGGAACTGCAAGGGTGGCCGTGCAGAGAGGTGAACTTCTGCCACGTCCTGTGCAGCTGGGGGTCCACCAGCCACATTCTGGGCTGCTGCAGGGTTATGCAAGGTGGCTGAAGGGACCAAAAGGTCTGGAGCCTTGTTAGCCAACAGATCCAGAAGATTGGTGTCGGCAGCCAGAGCGTCCGAAGGCTTGGTGGCAGCAGCTGGAGGGCTTTAAGGCTCAGCAGCGACAGGACCGGCAGAGATCAGAGGCTCCGCAGCAGCTGGTGTGTCAGATGCAACTATTTCTCCATAGCCCTTTCAGCTACAGTGTTTACGCTTCTGTGGGAGACTGACCTCCACCATTTTGGCCGCCAGCTGTGTGGGCTCCTCAAAGCGAAGGATGGCCCAAATGTCCACTGCGAAAACTGCTGGTTCCTCCTCTAGTTCCTGTTCAAAGGTCACTCACTCTCGGTCAACTGCTGGCTGAGGAACTTGGGCAGGGTAGGCTTGAGCAGTCCTGGCAGGGAGACTTCCTTCCTTTGTGTGACATTTGAATATGGAGAAGAAAAATTAACAAGCCAAATGAAAGACCAAAAACACACTGCATGACAATGTCCTGCATGACTAGCTTCTTCACTGTGAGTCAAGCTAGGTTTATATTTAAAACATTGTAAGTATGTCAGAAATGATGCAATTGTGGTGCCTCAGACCTCTAAACTCGTGAAGAGTTTAATGCCTCCGAAAGCTCCCTCACAAAGTTATTACATGAAATGGTTAGATATTTACTGCCTAATGTCCAACACATCGTTTTATGATAGTTTTGTGATAAACTTTTGTATCTATTAATTTATTTATTTTAATCCAGTCATGGCAGAGGAGTACATTAAGAATGCCATGAGGCAAAATAGTCCCCAAAGAAATCTTATTTTTTTAGATTTATGACAATTCCTTCCTGGATCGGGGCCTTGTTGTGGCGGAAGGGCTTGTGTGGTCTAGGGATCTTCAGAGCTAAGTCGTCGGGAGCAACATGCTCCTGGTAGAGTCTCCCAGGGCGAACAGGTCTGGAGTGAAGACCCAGACTAACTCGATCCAAAAACCTCCATGAAAAACGGACACAGAGCATCGTGTACCCTGCCCGGGAGAGGGTCACCGGGACCTACCCCTGGAGCCAGGCCTGGGGGTAGCGTCCCTCGGCGAGCGCCTGGTGGCCGGGCAGCCCACGTAACCCGGCCGGGCTCAGCCCGAAGAGGCAACGTGGGGGGACCATGTGGGCCCACCACCTGCAAGGTCCAGCATGGGGGAGTGGTGCAGTGCCGTACAGGCAGTGGGAGATTGCAGGGGGGCCCTTGGTGGCCTAGGCCCCTGCGGCAGAAACTGGCTCTTGGTACGTGGAATGTAACCTCACTGGGGGGGAAGGAGCCGGAGCTTGTGCGGGAGGTTGAGAGGTACCTAGATATAGTTGGGTTCACCTCCACCCACAGTATCGGCTCTGGAACCAAACTCCTGGATAGGGGTTGGTCCCTCTCCTACTCCGGGGTTGCACAAGGTGAGAGGCGCCGGGCGGGTGTGGGGATACTCACGAGTCCCCGGCTGGCGGCAGTGCAATTGGAGTTTGTCCCGGTGGACGAGAGGGTTGCCTCAATGCGTATTAAAATCGCAGAGAGGAAAACTCTGACTGTTGTGTGTGCTTATGCACCAAACAACAGGTCGGAGTATTCGGCCTTCTTGGAGCAAGTGGGCGGGGTTCTGGAAAGGGTCCCGACTACAGACTCCATAGTCTTACTGGGAGACTTCAATGCTCATGTTGGCAATGACTGGGAGACCTGGAGAGGCGTGATTGGGAAGAACGGCCTGCCCGATCTAAACCCGAATGGTGAATTGTTATTGGACTTCTGTGCCAGGCATGGATTGTCCATAACGAACACCAAGTTCGAACACAAGGATGTTCATAAGTGTACATGGTACCAGAGCTCCTTGGGTCAAAGGTCAATGATCGACTTTGTTGTCGTTTCATCTGACTTGGGACCATATGTGCTGGACACTCGGGTGAAGAGAGGTGCTGAGCTGTCAACTGATCACCATCTGGTGGTGAGTTGGATCAGATGGCAGGGAAGACTGAGGGTTAGACCCGGTAGGCCCAAGTGAATAGTGAGGGTGTGCTGGGAACGACTGTCGGAGGCCCCTGTTCGGAATGATTTTAACTCCCACCTCCGGGAGAGCTTTTCTCATGTCCCGGAGGAGGTAGGGGACATAGAGTCTGAATGGACCCTGTTCAAAACCTCCATTGTGGAAGCTGCCAGGCGCAGCTGTGGCCAAAAGCTTGTTGGTGCCTGTCATGGCGGTAACCCAAGAACCCCCTGGTGGACACCGGTGGTGAGGGAGGCCGTCAAGCTGAAGAAAGAGACCTTTAGGGACTGGATGGCCCGAAGGACTCCCGATTCAGCAGATAGGTACCGACATGCAAAAAAGGTGGCAGCTGCAACGGTGGCAGAAGCAAAATCCAGGGCGTGGGAGGAGTTTGGTGAGGCCATGGAAAAAGACTTTCGGTCGGCCTCGAGGAGGTTCTGGACAACTGTCCGGTGACTCAGGAGTGGTCGGGGTGGCTGCACCCAGGCTGTATTCAGCAGGGGTGGAGAAACTCTGACTTCAAATGAGGATATTGTCGGTCGGTGGAAAGAGCACTTTGAGGAACTCCTTAATCTGGGTGACATGCCTCCCTCACGGGAGTCAGGGCCAGAGGCCTCTGGCGTGTCAAGCTCTATTTCCCTGGTGGAGGTCACTGAGGTAGTTGGCAAGCTCTTCAGTGGCAAGGCACCGGGGGTGGATGAGATTCGTCCGGAGATGCTTAAGGCTCTGGATATTGTGGGGCTGTCGTGGCTGACACGCCTCTGCAATAGTGCTTGGACCTCGGGAACAGTACCCTTGGACTGGCAGACCGGGGTGGTGGTCCCTATTTTCAAGAAAGGGGACCGGAGGGTGTGTGCCAACTATCGGGGTATCACACTGCTCAGCCTCCCTGGGAAAGTCTATGCCAAGGTGCTGGAAAGGAGACTTCGACCGATAGTTGAACCTCAGATTGAGGAGGAACAATGTGGATTCCGTCCTGGCCGTGGAACAATGGACCAGCTTTTCACCCTCTCACGGATTGTTGAGGGGGCATGGGAGTTTGCCAACCCAGTCTACATGTGTTTTGTGGATTTGGAGAAGGCTTACGACCGTGTTCCCCGAGATATCTTGTGGGAGGTCCTCCGGGAGTATGGGGTGCCGGGGTTACTACTCCGGGCCATTCAATCTCTGTACGCCCGGAGTGAGAGCTGTGTTCGTATACTCGGCATTAAGTCGGACTCTTTCAGTGTTAGCGTTGGGCTCCGCCAGGGCTGTGCCCTGTCTCCACTCCTTTTTGTGATATTCATGGACAGGGTGTCAAGGCATAGCCGGGGTCAGGAGAGCATTACGTGTGGAGGCCGGAGGGTGGCGTCTTTGCTATTTGCAGATGATGTTGTTCTTTTGGCTGGATCACATGGATGCCTCCAGCGCACACTGGAGCGGTTTGCAGCTGAGTGTGAAGCGGTTGGTATGCGGATCAGCACCTCCAAGTCTGAGTCCATGGTCTTAGCCCGGAAAAGGATGGTATGCCCACTCCAGGTAGGGGGAAAGGACTTGCCCCAGGTGGAGGAGTTTAAGTATCTCGGGGTCTTGTTCACGAGTGATGGGAAGAAGGATCGTGAGATCGACCGCAGGCTGGGACAAGCGGCAGCAGTAATGCGGTCGCTGTACCGGACTGTAGTGGTGAAGAGGGAGCTGAGCCGTAAGGCGAAGCTCTCTGTTTACCGATCGGTCTACATCCCGACCCTCACCTATGGTCATGAGCTGTGGGTAATGACCGAAAGAATGAGATTGCGAATACAAGCGGCAGAAATGAGCTTTCTTCGCAGAGTGGCGGGCTACACTCTATTTGATAGGGTGAGGAGCTCGGCCATCCGGGAGGAGCTCGGAGTAGAGCCGCTACTCCTCCGCATTGAGAGGAGCCAGCTGAGGTGGTTCGGGCATCTGATCCGGATGCCCCCGGGACGCCTCCCGGTGGGGGTGTACCAGGCACGGCCTACCGGAATAAGACCCCGGGGTCGTCCTAGGACCCGCTGGAGGGATTATATCTCCAAGTTGGCCTGGGAGCGGCTTGGGGTCCCCGGGAATGAGCTGGAGGAAGTTGCGGGGGACAGGGTCGCCTGGGATTCTCTGCTCTCCCAACTGCTACCGTGACCCTATCTGGACTAAGCGGTTAACGATGATGATGATGATGACAATTTTACCATCATCAACAGTACCTATAAAAATTCAGAAGACACATATAGGTTCACTGGTTGTTTTTTATATTTAATAAAATTGCTTCATGAGTTGTATTCATGGCAACCCCTGGTTGTAACGGATGGAAAGAAATCTGAGTCAGTAAGTTTCTCTACAATTAACCATTTCACATTAAACCACAAGTTTTTTGAAAACTTGGTGGAATTCCCCTTTAAGTGTTATGATAAGATGCTAAATTGCTCTTTACAAACAAAACCGATGGACATGTTTGCAAATGAGATTATGGGATGACGGAGGAGTCAAAATATACAGATTCTGAAATTATGGAACATTAAGGTATTGAGCAAAATGACAAATCCGTTCTCTGAGGGTGGATTATTAGACCTGGTACCGGAATTTGTACATGGGTCAGATTTCAATTTCACTCACAGTCATTCCATTTAAACTGCATTTTTATTTACTAGCTAATCTTTAAATATTAAATTAACATTTATATAACATAGACATTTTTTCCTCTCAGAACAGCAGTCTATATGTAAAATTGGGTGGTTACTGATAAAATTCAACATCATGGTATTTTCAAATGTAGCACAGTATCATGCTCTGATTAAAGTTTAACATTAATAAGGTTAATGAACTTGTGCATCCGAAGTTTCCTTTTTTAAGGATTTTAAGCAAAAGAGTTGTACGAATGTGTAGGAACCCTGATTTTGGTAGTTTGTGGATTTTGCTCTCTTAAAATCCAAAAGGACTATAAAGTGAGTCAGTAAACCTTTGTTCCAGGCCAGTTATATGGTTGGCCAGGGTTTGCAGCACGTCATTCATGCTAGCTTTGGGTGGGATGTAAACACAGACTAGAATGACAGAGGAAAACTCACATGGCAAATAAAATGGTTTGCAGTTCATGGACAACATCTCTAAGTTTGGGCTGCAGTATTTATTCAGCACAGGATTCATGGTTCTTGTTCGTCCGGTTGGGGAGAAGTTTGTCCTTTTTATTGGGCACGTAGCAGAGATTCGCTACGTGAATCAAGGGGAGCACAGCTCAAAAACCTTACCGTTGGAGCTTTACATCCGTGCTTCTCCCGTCTGCGTCTCCACTGTTTCCCCCAGAGAGCCGCTGTTCCTCCAATAAGGATCTCCAAAAAACTTACTGGGTTCATGAAAACTTGTGAAAAACTATCTAGAGTGAACTGTCTTATGTTAAGCTCATCCCTGGTGTAACTAATTGGGTCTGGGTAACTGAAATAAACAAAAACAAAGATGGTACTAGAGAGCACTGTGCCAAGGCTGCCTCACAGTGCCTTCTTGATTATTATTTTGCAATAAAGATATAAATGTGTGTTGTATGTTGGTATTTGTGTCTATAGTGATTCTTTATGTAGACAATAGTGCCCTCTTCTGGGTAATCCAGAGGAAATACCTGAATTCTCTATTCAGTCTTCCCCCAAGCTAGGCTGAATAAAGCAGTTCCAGTGTTGCGCACTAAACCTTGTTTTTTTTTTTTTACAATTCAGTTAAAATAACCTCTTCCAAAATATTACAGTGGCAACAAGGATGGGATCCACAAATGGAAAGTACTTCTGCTGAATGCAGAATGAAGCTGAATCAAGCAAAGAGAGTTGCAGTTCACAGTTGGCAAGTAGCAACGCAAAAAAGCTAACAGCGAGCATGGTGTCTTTCCGAATAGGACGAATAGCAGAATATAAAGAAGGACAGGAAGATTTTGAATGTTACCTGGAAAGCCTGGAACAGTGGATGACAGCAATTGAGGTGTGTGTGTCAGTCAGTGTGTTCCTTTCTGTCATTGGAGCAGAAGCATATCAGCTTTTAAAAAAATCTCACTATGCCAGGCAAGCCCAGCAGCCTATCCTACAAAGAGTGAAAACTTAGCCCCCATTACAAGCCCATACCTCTCGTAATAGCAAAAAGATTTCATTTCCAGAAATTAACCAGCCAGAGAACGAGACAGTGTCATATTATATAGTTACATCATAACAGCATTCCACCTACCGTGAATTTGGGAATCATTTGGACAAACACTTTGGGACCGACATTGTAAGTGGTGATGGAATTAAATGAAAATTTCTAATATAATAATGAAACAAGCTTTTCTAAGCAGCAGGGAACTTTCTATATCTTCTGTACACTTGCATTTGGGTCCAGAACCTAAGCCCAGGCTGAATGCATTTTGCTAGAGCCTGTAATAGTGAAGAAACGGTCTGCGGATACTGAAGTGACTGAAGTGAAAGACTGTTTTGATACAACAGTGTGGGAAGAACTGTGTGATCCTTATAGGGAGGACAGTGACAGTCTCACACACTCTATAACTGACTATATAAACTTCTGCGTGGAGAACACAGTACCCACCAAGACTGTTTGGTGTGAAAGGAGCTCAGAAAGATCAAAGTGAGGAAAGCTGTGGGTCCAGATGGCATCAGCACCAGGCTCCTTAAGTCCTGCACAGATCAGCTGTGTGGAATTGTTAAATACATGGTCAACATGAGCCTGAGGCTCAAGAGGGTACCACAACTGTAGAAAACATCTTATGTGGTACCAGTGCCAAATACACAGCAACCGAAGGACCTCAGCAGCTACAGGCCTGTGGCACTCACGTCGCACCCGATGAAGGCTGGTCCTTGCCCATTTCCGCCCTCTGGCGAGCTCATCTATGGACCCACTTCAGTTCGCCTATCAACCTAGCACTGGAGTGGATGACGCAGTCATCTACCTCCTACACAGAGCTCTTTCTCACCGAAAGAAGTCTGGGAGCACGGTGAGAATCATGTTCTTTGATTTCTCCAGTGCTTTTAACACCATACAGTCTAGGCTCCTGAGGAGCAAGCTGGAGAACACAGGGGTGGATCACCACCTATTAAATTGGACTCTGGACTACCTCACTAGCCGACCACAGTATGTGAGGGCACGGGACTGTGTGTCTGACATGGTGGTCAGTAGCACAGGGGCCCCGCAGCGAACAGTCCTGGCACCATTCCGCTTCACTCTGTACACTGCAGACTTCATGTACGGCTCACCAAACTGCCATCTACTACCACGACAGTGGCTTAAGAGGGGAAGCCATTCAAAGGGCAAGCCATTAATGTGCAAGTACAAAAATGACAATGCCACTGCACCACTGGGACACATAACTCGTACGTGTAGACACATGAAAAAGTCAGGGCAGACTCAGTATGTGACTGACGGAACAAACCCTAGTGAAAATGAAAATGTGAGGGAGCTGTTTTGTATGTATTCTGTATATACAGCCTGCAGTGGGCAAAAAGGCATCATGGTGGATGTGGATATTGAGGGAAGGACTGCCAGCATGCAGCTGGATACTGGAGCAGCTGTGACCTTGTGTCTGAGGTGGTGTATATAGGAACTCTCGCTCATTTGCTTCTAGAAAATAGCGAAATGCAGCTATCTTCTTTTCTTTTTTTCTGAAAGACTTCTCTACCCTATTGCAGCCATTGCACCAACTTCTCAAGAAAAAGGTTCCATGGGCCTGTACCCAGAGTGTGATGTAGCATTTCAAAATGCAGAAGCCTGTGCGACTTGCTTGTGACGCATCTTCCTATGGATTTGGAACTGATATTTCTCACATATTGGAGAACGTTGAAGAAAAGCCCATAGCATTTGCTTCACACACACTGAGTGATGCCGAGACCAAGTATAGATAGATAGATCGACAGATCACTTTATTAATCCCAGAGGGAAAGTCTTCTATTGCAGCAGCACAAAGTACAGTAAAGAGCAAAACTGGAACAAAAGTATTCCTATACACAATAATCACACTGAAAGGAAGCTTTGGCAATAATCTTTGGAGTAAAGAAATGGAGTAAAAACACTCATGGCTTATAACTATGAGATCCAATTCGAGTAGTCAGAAGACCATGCAAACGCTAACTCCCTGTCTCGACAAGCCGAGTTCAGACAATACAGCAGAGTAAAAGAGCTTTTTCTATTTTTCATTGGTGGATGAGTTGCCAGTGCATGTAATTGACATACCTCAGCGCACCTTTAAGGATCCAGTTCTCTGCAAAGTGGTGGAGTTTACCCTGAGGGAGTGGCTAAATTACTTACAAGATGAAACTCCGAAGCACTTTTTCATCCAACAGAACTGTCTGTAGAACAGGGATGTATTCTGCAGGAGATTAAAATCATTATATCTCCTGCACACCAACAAAGACTTTTGAATGACCTACACCAAGGGCACCTGGGCATTTGTAGTGAATGAAGTCCTTATCCCAAAGCCATATGTGGTGGCAAAATCTTGACAGCGACATTGAGAAAACAGTACAGTACTGTAGCTTGTCAAGCAGTGAGGAAACTGCCAGGAGTGGCACCACTGCACTGCACAGAAGCCAAAACAATGGTGTTGCAGAATATCTTTGCTGCTTATGGACTTCCAGAAGAAATTTTGTCTGATGAAGGCCAACAATTTGCATCACTGGAGTTCAGAAATTTCCTGAGGAATAACGGTAAAACAGATTTTAGTGACCACTTACCAACCTGCATCCAATGGAGCTGCCAAAAGGTCAGTGCAAGCAGTGAAATCAGCCATGTTGAAGCAAGTCCTGAATGAGGAAGGACAAAAGACTACCATAACACCGCAATACGGGCTGGCAAACTTACCGCTAATGTACATGCATATCCCACATAGTGACCGTGCACCAGCCGAACATTTTCTAAAATGCCAACTGAGAACTAGATTCAGTCTTCTGGAACCAGATCTTTCCAGAGTCATGGAGAACAAGCAGCAAAAGTTTTACCATGACCGTTCTGGAATCAAACTGAGATGTCTAGCCGAGAGAAACTCCGTCCTAGACCAACGTTTTCATGAGGGAAGGAGAAGTGGACAAAAGCAAAAGTATTGAAGCGTTTTGAACCTGTCACATACCTAATGTTTGATGGAGTGAGACAGTGTGTTGTCCACACAGATCACCTGCTACATGCAAGAGGGGCAGCAGAAACACCTGACTACCAAGGAGGAGACGACTACCCAGCAGGGGACCTTGCAATGACCGAGCCAGAGGGACAGAGAGAAGCTGAGCACCCTAGTCAGCCACAAACAGGAGCAAACCCTTTACTGCAGAGCCCTGAAAGGGAGAAATTAGCAAAACCCTCAAGTCCTGTGTGCACTAGCCACACCAGTGACTGCACTGACAGCTACCAATGCATCCCCTGCAGTCCAGATAAGCAGATCTGTAACATTCAAAACTGAAAAATGAAAATAATTTGCAGTGAAGATTATGGCTCTTTGCTGCTTCAGATAAAACTTTTGGTACCTAGAATTACGTTAAGGCTGATGGTACTATATATTCGATGTATTGTTACAATACTGTCACAATAATTGTGGTTTAATTGTTGTTGTAGTCGTGTTTATTAGAGTAATTGTGTCTAAGGATAGTGGGCTTTGTAGTGTAACTAGTGGTTAGAAGTGTCTACACTCCTCAAGGGTGCTCCTGTGTTCCCCCTGCCCTGTGTTACGTGTTGGGGTAGGGCTGGGCTGGGCATTTCTAGTCTGTGTTGAAGGCCTGTTCAATAAAGAGCATTTGCCCGTAGACCCAAGGATTTTCTTCTGTGCCTGACTAGAGAGACACACCTGCACAACCTGAATAAGCTGCCATTCCTACCTACTTATCTTGTCCATTGTTATTGCTTAATCAGAGGTTGTCAGCCACTGACCAATCAAATCAATCTGGAAGCAAAACGCTAGTAGCAAATATCACTGGATCCTTTGAATAATGGTGTTAGAGTCATGAGACTAATACTGTTACATGCAAGCTAATGCTTCTGTGCATCAGTTTGATGTCACTAAGCTACACAAAAGTAAAGCGGGCTATGGTGGTGTTCTGAGAAGTTGTGCTACCTTACCGAAATGTCCTATGTTTTAGCACATTTTTTGCTGGATCAATATTAATGTTGTTTTGTTCCATCCAGTCTGTAAAGCATCTTACAGCCCATTTTATTTGGCGAATTGTATAGGGTTCATTTCTGGCTGATTCCAGGTTGTTTAGCTGTTCTTCTGTCACAGCTGCTGACTGAAACGCTGCACAGTGGTGATGACAGTTTCAGAATTTAGTGTCGTCTCATCTTCAGAGTCTGACCAAACCGGCTGTCGGTCAAATGTGATCTTAAAAGTATCCATCTTCTGTTTGTGCAAAATAAGAAGTGAAAACGTTCAAATGGCTTGAGCATCTCTTACAGCTGTCAAAGTCGTTGCTTAGCAACAGAGTCTCAGCGGAGTGATGCAGTGTTTGTGAAAAAAAACGTGACGTTATGTCGAAATAACAGCACAGTTAGAGCGCTTCTCAACCAATCAGCTTGCGTGGCTGGAATTAACTGTTGTATAAAAAAATAATAATTTGTGCACTCACCCACAGTAAGGACAGTAGAGCTGCTCCTAGGTGATGTGATTGAGCCGTTTCCCTGGTATGAATAGTCACAGCTGTACTGGCCTTGATCTGAGGAAGCCACAGTCAACATAAATGTTGAAGATTCAGATGTTGAAGACTGAGTTTTAACTAATGTTCCACTTCTGTACAAATGGAAATCAGCAGAGATGCAGGCTGGGATTGGCTTGATACATCTGAACTGAACAGCCTCCCCAGCAGTTACAGCAGAGTGAGATGAGATCAGGGTGGGCGTGGGACTCTGCAGGTCATCTGTTAAAGAAATATTATTAGTGGTGTAGTAAATGTATTTAAACAATAAACTGCTGTAAAAACTACTACTTACCTAAGCACACAACTCCAGCGTCCTTATCATGTCCACAGTTCTCCACCCCAAATCCTCCGTGTGAACACTGAGTTAAGTATCTCTCAGTTCCTCTGCACCCAACATTATCCAACCACGTTGGTTCACTTCCCCGACCAAAGTGGGAACTCTGAGGGGCACTGACCGCTCTGCCACATCCCATCTGTCTGCACACCACCTCTGCATCATCCATGTCCCAGTCATCATCACATATTGTTCCCCACTGGCCATTGTGCTGGATCTCCACTCTGCCACAACAGCGACCCTGACCATTTACCAGCCTGATCTCATTAGGGCCTGATTCATTGTATAAAAACAAAAAAAAAAATGTAATCAGTCTCTGTCTGTTGACGACATTAAAACATTGCAGAAGAAAATAAATTACATCTACACCATTACATTGCTATCTGAAAACATGGTCACATGAAAGCCAGCATGCAACTGTAAAACCGTAATATTTATTTATAGTCAACTTCATTAGCCAGTGTGCTTTTTGCTATCCAGCCTGATAAGCTTTGTAATGTCAGAGAACAAATAACTACTTTTAGTGGAAGACATTAATGGTATCCCAAGAAGCCTTTGATGTACTGAGCTAATATATCTACAGCTGCATAATGTCATGGCTGGTGAACAGTCAGAGAGTGACTCTTCCATTTAGAGGCCTAATATTATGCAATTGATAATATAAGAAGAATTCCATTTAATTACAAAGAAAGGAAAAACACAACTCCTGCAGGAAATTATTTAAAAATATTTTTTCTGCAAATATAAATGCACAGTTACTTTAAATTTAATTAACTTGATTAAGTCAAGTTAATGATTAACTTGTACTTGATTAAGTACTAAAAAGCTAAAATAGTAACTGTGGAATTACTTCAAAAAGCAACAACATTTGGCCAGGAGTGCCCAAACCTTTGCATATAATTGCATGTTTGATATGTAATGTGTAACCGTACTGGTGCAAAGAGCTAAGCTGGCATGAATCTGTGCAGGTACCAGAATTTTGCTACATGGGAGTAATCGAGGGGGAAATGGCCAGCTGTCACAGGGGATCCTGTTGTTTTTTTGTTTTTTTTTTTAATTGAAAATGCATTCTAAAAAACACTTACTGATTCATTTCTACACAGACATACACCTTAAAATTACCTTTCTATTAATTTTAGAAATAGCCAATAAATGCTTTCATCTGGTGCACTTCCTGCATTATAAAATAATGTCATGTAAGAGCTGAAACTTTTCACATTTTTTGTCAAAGTATGCTGTTCTGAATAGTAAATTGTTCTGAATAGTAAATTGTTAAATATTTTATGTAGTACTATGTCCAAAAAACTACTAAAAATGGCCCAGGCGTATCCCTAACATGCATGATCATGCAAAGTGTAAATGCCACAACTTGCCTCCCTCTACTGATGCTAATGGTACAGTTTAAAGGTATCTTCAGCGAACAGCTCCAATACAAAAACACGTGTTTACTCCATTAGGTTTGAGTCTTTATTCTCTAATCTTGCCTCAGTGAAGCTTCAGTGAGCTGAATGTACGTGGGGTGTGGTAGCTGTGCCATGCTAAGATACTACAGTAGAATGCCACCTGCTACGAGAAAATATGTGAATTTTGAACTACAGTAACACAAACATCAGTGCATATAATCATATTAAGCCATTCTAGAGGAGTTCTGTGCTGTCCTGAATCCTGAATCACTGCGTCCAAGAATCAAATGTGTTAAAAGTGCTAAAAAGACACCAAGAAGTGAACCAAAGACAATGTGTTTCTGACCAATGATTGAAGGATTCTGTGAGCATGTTTCCAGCCCTTACACTTTCCACATGCCCCTTGTTATTTATTTAATTATTTTTTCCTGGTCTGTCTAAATTTGTGCATTGCAAAACTAAACAGGACAAAACAGAAAAAGAAACAAAAGCAAAGATTTTATTAGACAAAGCGATTAAAGTTTCAGAAGAGCCCTTTGGCGTCGTTCCAGTGTTCTTCCCTGTTTTTACCTAAAATATGTTTTAGAAAACTTGAGCAACAATACCAGTGTCTTCACTACGAACACAGCTGTGTTTACAGATAGAAGCTTACAAAAATGTATAGGGATAACATTTCAATGAGATTTACAAATAATTACAAATTATGGTTATAACTACAATAATTATGAATAAATTAATATATACACAACAAAACTATATATATATATATATATATATATAGATAGATAGATAGATAGATATAAATAAAATATAACTTATGAATTACAAATAAGAGGAATATTCTACAGGCAGTAAGACTTTTTACAAGGCAGGGAATGGCTGGCAACCTCATATGATAGCTTAAAGATGTCCACTAGCCAGTGGGAGAACCGCTACTTAGAGAGCGGCAAACCCCATCTCAACTCATACAAACAACTGATGCATTAAAATCTTAAACTGCAAATGTTTCATTTGTTTATTTATTAATTTACATACTAAATCATATGTTTATTAAGTTTAAAGAGAAACACACTAGCCTATTGTTAACTGACCACTGAATTGATTAGAGGGGTCAGTGCAGCAGCAATATCAATGTTGCATGTTTATGAACTGAAAATGAGTTTTTCCTTACCTGAGCAGGTAACACCAGCATCTTCACCATGACTGCAGTTGTGTGTGTAAAATCCATCATGAGAGCAATTAGACATATAACTTTCATTTCCAGAACAGGCAACATTATCCAGAAGTATTGGATCACTTCCGTGACCAAAGTGGGCACTGTGAGTGGCGCTGACCGCTCTACCACATCCCATCTCTCTGCACACCACCGCTGCGTCATTGATGTCCCAGTCATTATCACACACTGTTCCCCACTGGCTGTTATAAGAGACCTCCACTCTACCAGAACACGGGTCATTTCCATTAACAAGTCTTAAGCCTGTCACAATGAAAAAATTATAAACAGTATTATCAAACAAAGGAATTGCCACATTTCTATACACGAAAAAATAAGTGTTGTGTTTATCAAAACCTGTTTAATTTCTTTCATTTTTATTATTGGCAAAACAGGGACGTGGGAAACATAGCGCTTTAAGCAAATGCTCTTTATTGAACACAACATTAGTAGAGAAACAGTGAAAACTGAACGGTGGGGATAGCAGGCAGGTCACTTCTAACCACATAACTCTGCATAACAGTAGACACCAGCACTGCACCAACTACCCCACAGCCCAGAACAGTATAGCACAAACGCATCTCCGCAAGTCTTTCTCTTATCGCCGTGTGGCTACACACCGCCATGCCTCCTGCGCGTCCATGGCCAGGAGAGCCAGCAACAGGACACTACACTATCATTATTATAGTAATCATAAAACTATAATAATAATAATAATAACAAAACTATAATAATAATAATTATTATTACCATTACCATTATTATTATTATTATTATTATTATTATTATGTTTGCAGAGCTTTGCTGAGAGTTACCAGAAAGACCAGTTCATTAATTGTTCAGTCATCGTCCCTGTGTTGGTAATGTTAGGACTTATAACTTATGAAGCTAATGTGTAAATCAACTAACATAACACCATTTAAATAACTGATGCCAGAATACAACCAAACAACCAACAAGGTTCTAATATTAATTTACATTTACAGAATTTTGATGTAAACATCTACATAATGTTTACATCAACCTCCTTCAAGACCTAGTGAGTAAGATTTGGCTGAGTGAAGAGAATTAATGTTTAAAGTACTGAAATGCCATTCCAGCACATTTCTCTAGTGTTTTAATGCCGAGTAGCTCAGTTTTAGCACAAACATGTCTGAAAGCTTTGGTGCCCTTTTGATTTCAGCATTATATGCTTTATATGTTTACTGCTTAATGTTAATTGATTAGAGGGGTCAGTGTAGCAGCAATATCAATATTACATGGTTATGAACTGTAAATGAGTTTTTCCTTACTTGAGCAGATAACACCAGCATCTTCACCATGACTGCAGTTGTGTTTGTAAAATCCATCATGAGAGCAATTAGAGAGAGAGCTTTCACTTCCAGAACAACCAACATTATCCAGAAGTATTGGGTCACTTCCCTGACCAAAGTGGGCACTGTGAGTGGCGCTGACCGCTCTTCCGCATCTCATCTCTCTGCACACCACCGCCGCATCATTGATGTCCCAGTTATTATCACACACTGTTCCCCACTGGCCGTTATAATAGACCTCCACTCTACCAGAACACGAGTCATTTCCATTAACGAGTCTCATGCCTGTCACAATTAAAGAATAATGGACAGTTTTATCAGACATCAGCTTTTTAAAACATATTGCCACGATGTAGAAAAAAAAAGTCTTGTTTTCTGCAGACACAAGACAGGATTTGATTCAAGCTGAGAAGTACAACAAGCGTGAAAGCCTGACTCATTTTTCATTGTTATTATTATTGGCAAGACGGAGACGAAGGAAACAGAGCTTTGAGCAAATGCTCTTTTATTGAACATGACATCACTTCACTTCTAACTACATAACTCTGCATGACAGTAAACACCAACACTGCACCAACTACCCCACAGCCCAGCACAGAATAGCACAGACATGCACCTCCACATGTCTTTAACTAATAAGTACAACTATTTACACAGTGATTATTATTATTATTACTCTTCATTATGTCTGCAGAGCTATGGTGAGAGTTACCAGAAAGACCAATTCATTAAGTCTTCAGTCAGTTTCTCTGTGTTGGTAATGTTACTAGTTATACATCATAAAAGTAACAAATAAATCAACCAACACAGTGCAAATTAAGTACCTGATACCAAAATGCAACCAAATCACAAAAAAAGAAGCTTGAGTCTTTCATGTAGTGCAGTCCTGTGCGCACCTTCCAGTTCAGTTTTACCCACACGTTTTTAATTGATTGTCTCCTGAAAAGTGACACAACGAGCAGAGCTCAAAATGTTCTGTTTCTATCGACTATTTTTTATTTCAGCAGCTGGTTGGATGAGGTTGAGAGTAGTGGCCTTTTAAACATGTTTGAGTAAGCGTGCAAAAACAGTTTTGGTCATAATAATATAGTCCTATATGTGAAGGACTATAAAGACAATGTTGTGATGTTCAAAGTATTTTCTGTTATTTATCTTACAGATAAACTGCTCATAAACGGTTTTATCTGGATAATCTAGCTCCTCATATTACCATGTGTTTAATCTAATTGTCATATGTAATTATGACATGTATGTGTTATATTTCAAATTACTGAAATATCTTCAAAGTAAACAGGGAAAACAGATTATTTGAGAAAATGTCCTAGTCTAGGGAGATTAAGGTAAAGTCCTCATTAGCGCTTGTGTCTGAAATACCATTCCAGTGTACTTCTCTAGTGTTTTAACACAGAGTAGCTCAGTTTTAACAGAAACAGGACTGTAGGCTTTGGTGTTCTTCTGATTTCAGCATTATATGCTTTGTATGTTTACTGCCTACTTAATGTTAATTGATTAGAGAGATCAGTGTAGCAGCAATATCAATATTACATGGTTATGAATTGAAAATGAGTTTTTCCTTACCTGAGCAGATAACACCAGCATCTTCACCATGACTGCAGTTGTGTGTGTAAAATCCATCATGAGAGCAATTAGAGAGAGAGCTTTCATTTCCAGAACAGGCAACATTATCCAGAAGTATTGGATCACTTCCGTGACCAAAGTGGGCACTGTGAGTGGCGCTGATCGCTCTGCCACATCTCGTCTCTCTGCACACCACCGCCGCATCATTGATGTCCCAGCCATTATCACATACTGTTCCCCACTGGCTGTTATAAGAGACCTCCACTCTACCAGAACACTGGTCACTTCCATTAACAAGTCTTAAGCCTGTCACAATTAATGAATAATGGGCAGTTTTATCAGACATCAGCTTTTTAAAACGAATTGCCACAATGTAAAAAAAGTCTTGTTTTCTGCAGACACAAGACAGGCTTTAATCTAAGCTCAGAAGTATGATAAGCACCTGGATTTATGTTCCATGAGAGCCTCATATTATTATTATTGGCAAGACGGCGACACAGGAAAAATAGCGCTTTAAGCAAACACTCTGTTTTTGAACACGGGAGCAGTGGAGAAAACACTGTGGAGTAGACACCAACACTGCACCAACTACCCCACAGCCCAACATAGAACAGCACCTCCACAAATTTTACTAATAAGCACAACTACTTACTGAAATCATTACTATTATTATTACTCTTCATTATGTCTGCAGAGCTTTGGTGAGAGTTACCAGAAAGGCCGGTTCATTAAGTCTTCAGTCAGTTTCTCTGTGTCGGTAACGTTACATCATAAAAAGAAACAAATAAATCAACCAACACAGTGGTTCTAGCTCTTCATATTACCGTGTGCTTAATCTAATTAGCATTATATGTAATTATGACATGTATTTGTTATATTTCAAATCACTGAAATATCTTCAAAGTAAAAGAGGAAAATAAATTATTTAAGAAATTGTCCTGCTCTGGAGAGATTAATGTAAAGTCCTTATTAGCGTTTGTGTTTGAAATGCCATTCCAGTGTACTTCTCTAGTATTTTAACACAGCGTAGTGCGGTCAGTGCAGCAGCAACATCAATATTACATGTTACGTTACATGTTATGTTTTTCCTTACCTGAGCAGATAACACCAGCATCTTTACCATGATTACAGCTGTGCGTGCCAAAACCCCTGTGAGAGCAACTTTTCAGGGTGCCTTCACTTCCAGAACAACCAACATTATCCAGAAGTATTAGATCACGTCCCTGACCAAAGTGGGCACTGCGAGGGGCACTGATCGCTCTGCCACATTTCATTTCTCTACACACCACCGCCGCGTCATTGATGTCCCAGTCATTATCACACACGGTTCCCCACTGGCCATTATGATAGACCTCCACTCTACCAGAACACGAGTCAAATCCATTAACGAGCCTTACGTCTGTCAAAATTAAAGAATAATTAACTTTTATTAAACATGAGTTTTTTAAAAAGGACTGAAACATGTTTTTATAGACATCTTTTTCTTTCATTATTATTAGTAGTAGTAGAAGTATTTTAGTATTATGACTACTCTTTTAAAGATGCACAAGGCTTCTTTTATTGTTGGATTGTTCATTCAGAACAGTTTGGATCAATAAGCGCTTATAATAAATAATTAGATTGAATAAGAAGTTTTCCATCTCGCCAAGATTGTCAGTTCTCTGTGTTTAGTTTGAGCTTTATGTCTGTAGTCTTGACTAAACGTAGTTCAGTAAATGAAGCTGCAGGCCTGGTCAGCTGTCACCATCAGGTGAAAGGAAGAACTAAAACATACTGGCTGGCGGGCCGCTTAAAATACACAGTAAAACAGAAGCCGGGGGCCAATTAAAATCTGTCCGTGGTCCACATCTGGCCTTGGGGCCGCACTTTGGACACCCCTGCTGTACTTGAACTGCTTGTATACAGTTTTACCTGGATAATCTAGCTCCTCATATTATAGTGTGTTTAATCTAATTGGCTTCATAGATAATCATCATATCTGTTTGTATTTTTTCCAAAGTATTTTAAAAATAAAATGGGGGAACAGGGGGTGGCACAGTGGCGCAGTGGGTAGTGCTGTCGCCTCACAGCAAGAATGGCCTGGGTTCGATTCCCAGTTGGGTGACCAGGGTCATTTCTGTGTGGAGTTTGCATGTTCTCCCTGTGTCCGCGTGGGTTTCCTCTGGGTACTCCGGTTTCCTCCCACAGTCCAAAAACATGCAGTCAGGCTGATTGGACATGCTAAAATTGCCCCTAGGTGTGAATGTGTATGTCTATCTGCCCTGCGATGGACTGGCAACCTGTCCAAGGAGTATCCTGCCTTCCACCCAATGACAGCTGGGATAGGCTCCAGCACCCCACCGTGACCCAGAAGGATAAGCGGTTTAGATGATGTATGTATGTATGGGGGAACAGACTATTTAAGAAATGTGCTGTTCTGGACAGTTTAATGTAAAAAGTCTTCATCAGTGCTTGTTTCTCTGGTAACAGATTACAGTTGGGTGAAAGGGTCTGAGCCTCCACATGAAGACTTTATAATGTTTTCCTGAATGTTTTCAAAGGTTTTTACAGGGGATGATCAAGAAAGTGCTAATCTTAATTTACAGGATTAGAAATGTTTACATCAACCTCCTTCAAGACTCAGTGAGAAAGAGAAGACTGAGCTAAGAGAACTAATGCTTAAAGTACTGAAATACCGTTCCAGCACATTTCTCTAGTGTTTAAACACAGAGTAGCTCAGTTTTAGTACAAACAGGTCTGAAAGCTTTGGTGTCCTCCTGATTTCAGCATTATACCCTTTATGTTTGCTGACCACTTAACGTTAGAGAGGTCAGTGCAACAGCAATATTAATATTACATGGTTATTAGGGGTGCGGGAAAAAATCGATTCTTAGATGCATCGCGATGCGGACGTGAACGATTCTGAATCGATTCATAAATGTCAAAAATCGATTTTCTAAATATTTAATTTATAACATAATGTTGACGGAACGCAAAAGGCGGAACTTGGAAGCGCGGAAGTGCAGCTCCCGGACAGTCTTTGGCGGCACATAACAAAAACACTACTGGATGAGCAAGAAATCTGACCAACTCCCTCTGCATTAAAAGCCAGGTTAGATCAGGAGTCACAACATAAATGTTAATAAGAGACATTTTGTCCTTTCAACAAAAATTAAACCACCTTGGGAGCCACAACACTTAATGTCCAGTATGTCTCAGTACGTGATAATGTCTAGTATAGGCTAAACAATATAAACAAAAACGCAGATTTACTTCACTCTGCTTTAAGCTTCGCCTACAGCCGCTTTTCTCCCATCTCCGCAGTAAACTTTTCCTCAAAAGTAGATCAGTTAAATGTCTCTCAAAGTTCGACTGTTTTACGAGGCTGAAGTCGCTTCTCATTCTCCAGCTTCTTGTTCGAATTAACCCGTTCCATCTTAAATTCTAACTGAGGCGCCGAATGTAAATGTGGTACCGTTTAAGGTCGAACGGGAGAATTCGAAAGAGAAGCTGACTTCAGCTTCGCCACTTTTTAGTGTTTGACAGTCTCTCATTGCAGATTTAACGTACCAGGAAACCAACTGTGCTGCTTATATATGCGAATAACGCATTGCTGCTATGTGACCTGCAGTCTGCACGCCGGTTCTCAGTCGTTGCGAAACAGGGCTTTCGCGCTATGTTGCACACGTCCCATCTCAAAGATACTTTACTGACACAACGATCCCCCCCATCTCTACAACGAGACCAAGTTATAAAATCACTAAAGAAAACGGGTAGAATAGCTGTAACGTGTGCTGCGTGGACATCCATCACCACTGGATCTTATTTCACCATAGCTGCGCATTTTATCACAGATGAGTAACAGCAGCTTCTCATACTCCAAACAAGAGCACTGAATGAGAGCCTTCTAGTTCACTTGCCACATCACTTCCATTTTCCATTTGTTTTATTAAAAAAGATATTGGAAGTATATATATATATATATATATGTATATATATAATATTTCAGTTGGTTTTTCTTGTATTTTTACTTATTTACTTTCTGTAGAGTGATTAGCTGAGCCTCGCCACAAGCATTTCAATGCATCAATGTCCTGACATGTTGTGCAAATGACAAACTTGAAACTTGAACTCACACAGTGAGAAAACATAAATGCTATATAGAAAAAAAAAGATGCACCGAGATGCATCGATAATCATTTTATAATCGCATCGCAGCCCTCTGAATCGTAATCGAATCGTGAGGTGCCTAGAGATTCCCACCCCAAATGGTTATGAATTGAAAATGTGTTTTTCCTTACCTGAGCAGATAACACCAGCATCTTTACCATGATTACAGTTGTGTGTGCCAAAACCCCTGTGAGAGCAACTTTTCAGGGTGCGTTCACTTCCAGAACAACCAACATTATCCAGAAGTATTGGATCACGTCCCTGACCAAAGTGGGCACTGCGAGGGGCACTGGCTGCTCTGCCACATTTCATTTCTCTACACACCACCGCCGCGTCATTGATGTCCCAGTCATTATCACACACTGTTCCCCACTGGCCGTTATGATAGACCTCCACTCTACCAGAACACGAGTCAAATCCATTAACAAGCCTTACGTCTGTCAAAATTAAAGAATAATGAACAATTTTATTAAACATGAGCTTTTTAAAAAGGACTGCAACATGTTTTTATAGACATCTTCTCTTTCATTATTATTGCTAGTAGTACAAGTACTTTAGTATTATGACTACTCCTCATCATTTTTGCAGAGATTTGTGATAGTCACCAGAAAGGCCGGTACATTAAGTCTGTCATTTTCCCTGTGTCAGTAATTTTATTAGTTGCATGTTACAAAGCTAACACATAAATCAACCAATATAGTGGTATTTCCATAACTGATGCCAGAATACAACCAAACTACAAAAAAAGATACTTGAGTCCGTCATGTAGTACTGTGCTGTATGCACCCACCAGTTCATTTTTACTAATGCTTTTTGATTGGCTGTCTTCTGCAAAGTGACAAGACAAGCAGAACTATTTTCTGTTCCTATCAAATATTTTTTTATTGCAGCAGCTGTTTGGGTGAAAAGATTTTTGCTCATCATAACGTAGACCTACATGTAAAGAGCTATAAATGAAATGTTGCACTCTTGAAAAAGTTTTTGCTGTTATTTATCTTACCACATTACAGGCCTAAGAAACACTCAAACTGAAATGATTCCTGTACTTCAGGGGTGTCCAAGCTTTATTCAAAGAGAGCCCGATTGTACTGTGTAAAAATACCTGTGGGCCAAACTATTATTCACAAATGATTCAAAATATTACGTTTTAAAAATATCAGCGCATAGAAACTGAGCTTTCTGTTTCTTTTCTGTTTCCTATCACTGCATAAAAGATGCACAATGCTTCTTTTATTGTTGGATTGTTCATTCAGAACAGTTTGGATCAATAAGCGCTTATAATAAATAATTAGATTGAATAAGAGTGGCAATACAACATGTCTGATGTATTAATCCCATTCCTATTCAAGTGTTTACTTGTTGAAAAATATACTTTGTTAGACAAACTAAACAAAAATCTATAGAATGGTTGGTTTTGTTAGGTAATGATCTCTTTACATACCAAATAAATGCAGTGTAGCCATGTTGTTGTCCGACCTTAAAGGGTTAATATTTACTGAACGACTGAGTTTGCTCTGATAAGAAGTTTTCCATCTCGCCAAGATTGTCAGTTCTCTGTGTTTAGTTTGAGCTTTATGTCTGAATTCTTGACTAAATGTAGTTCAGTAAATGAAGCTGCAGGCCTGGTCAGCTGTCACCATCAGGTGAAAGGAAGAACTAAAACATACTGGCTGGCAGGCCGCTTAAAATACACAGTAAAACAGAAGCCGGGGGCCAATTAAAATCTGTCCGTGGTCCGCATCTGGCCCTGGGGCCGCACTTTGGACACCCCTGCTATACTTGAACTGCTTGTATACAGTTTTACCTGGATAATCTAGCTCCTCATATTATAGTGTGTTTAATCTAATCTGCTTTATAGATAATCATCATATCTGTTTGTATTTTTTCCAAAGTAATTTTAAAAATAAAATGGGGGAAACAGATTATTTAAGAAATGTGCTGTTCTGGACAGTTTAAAGTAAAAAGTCTTCATTAGTGCTTGTTTTTCTGGTAACAGATTACAGTTGGGTGAAAGGGTCTGAGCCTCCACATGAAGACTTTATAATGTTTTCCTGAATGTTTTCAAAGGTTCTTACAAGGGGATGATTGAGAAAGTGCTAATCTTAATTTACAGGATTAGAAACGTTTACATCAACCTCCTTCAAGACTCAGTGAGAAAGAGAAGACTGAGCTAAGAGAACTAATGCTTAAAGTACTGAAATACCGTTCCAGCACATTTATCTAGTGTTTAAACACAGAGTAGCTCAGTTTTAGTACAAACAGGACTGAAAGCTTTGGTGTCCTTCTGATTTCAGCATTATACCCTTTATGTTTGCTGACCCCTTAATGTTAGAGAGTTCAGTCTAGCAGCAATATTAATATTACATGGTCATGAATTGAAAATGTTGTTTTTCCTTACCTGAGCAGATAACACCAGCATCTTGACCATGATTACAGCTGTGTGTGCCAAAACCCCTGTGAGAGCAACTTTTGAGGGTGCTTTCACTTCCAGAACAACCAACATTATCCAGAAGTATTGGATCACGTCCCTGACCAAAGTGGGCACGGCGAGGGGCGCTGACCGCTATGCCACATCTCATCTCTCTACACACCACCGCAGCGTCATTGATGTCCCAGTTATCATCACACACTGTTCCCCACTGGCCGTTATGATAGACCTCCACTCTACCAGAACACGAGTCAAATCCATTAACAAGCCTTACGTCTGTCAAAATTAAAGAATAATGAACAGTTTTATTAAACATGAGCTTTTTAAAAAGGACTGCAACATGTTTTTATAGACATCTTCTCTTTCATTATTATTGTTAGTAGTACAAGTACTTTAGTATTATGACTACTCCTCATCATTTTTGCAGAGATTTTGTGATAGTCGGCAGAAAGGCTGGTACATCAAGTCTTCAGTCATTTTCCCTGTGTCAGTAATTTTATTAGTTACATGTTACAAAGATAACACATAAATCAACCAATATAGTGGTATTTCCAAATCAAATCAGATTTATTGTCACATCACAAGAGTACAGGGACACAGGTGAGTGAAAAACTTGAGTGCGAGTTCCACAAATTATGCAGAGAACAGTATTTACACATAGATAAACAAAACTATAGATAGGATAGAAGAATAGATAAAACCAATTTAACTAAAATATATACATATAATCTCACACAATAACTTAAAAATAATAATATTGCACCGAGACATATAATATTGCACTGGGAATGTAGGGTGGGTGCAATCAACTATATACTATATATAGTAATGGATATTACAATGCTATGTGGATGTGCAAATAATCACACTAGGTGTGGAGGTAGAAGATGGTACAGTAGGTGGCAGAGTATTTAGTAAAGTGCAAGGTACAGGAAGTTAAGTGGAAGCGCAGGGGGAGAGTATTGTCTTTGGATAGGTATTCAAAGTCAGCTATGCAAGTAAAGTGCGGGAGTACAGTGGGTGCACGTACGTGTAATGGGAAGGGTTGGGCTGGGCAGAGCAGTGATTACTGGCTGTTCAATAGCCTGGTTGCATGGGGGAAGAAGCTGTCTTTGAGCCGACTGGTTCTGGCTTTTAAGCTTCTGAGCCTCCTACCACTCGGCAGCTGAGAGAACAGACAGTGACTAGGATGGGAGGGGTCCTTCATAATCCTTCTGGATTTCCTCAGGCAGCGACTGGTGTATAAATCCAATAGGTTAGGGAGCTGAACCCGGGTGATGGACTGTGCTGTCCGCACCACCCTCTGCAGAGATTTCCTCTCACGAACAGTACAGTTCCCATACCAGGTGGTGATGCTGCCCGTCAGGATGCTTTCCACAGTGCAGGTGTAGAAGGTCTTAAGGATGCTGGGGTTCAGGCCAAACCTCCTCAGCCTTCTGAGGAAGTAGAGGCGCTGGTGGGCCTTCTTCACCACCTGTGAGGTGTGCACTGCCCATGTCAGGTCCTCGCTGATGTGAACACCGAGAAACTTAAAGCTGCTGACCCTCTCTACCGCAGTCCCATTGATGGAAATCGATGGGTGTACTCTCTCCTGCTTCCTGAAGTCCACGATCAGCTCCTTGGTCTTACTGACGTTTAGAGAGAGGTTATTCTCCTGGCACCAGTTTTCCAGGATTTTAACCTCCTCTCTGTAGGCCGATTCATCGTTGTTGGAGATCAGGCCCACAACTGTTGTGTCGTCAGCAAACTTTATGATGACGTTGGAGCTGTGTCTAGCAGTGCAGTCATGGGTGTACAGGGAGTACAGGAGCGGGCTGAGCACACAACCCTGGGGGGCTCCGATGTTGAGGGTCAAAGAGGAGGATGTGATACTTCCCATCCTTACCACCTGCCGTCGGTCCGTCAGGAAGTTCAGGATCCAGCTGCACAGTGTGCTGTTCAGACCCAGATCCCGGAGCTTGCAGTCGAGCCTCGAAGGAACGATTGTGTTGAATGCTGAACTGTAGTCTACAAACAGCATTCTCACATACGTGTCCTTCTTTTCCAGGTGGGAGAGGGCAGTGTGCAGGGTCAGGGCGATTGCATCGTCGGTGGATCTATTCCGCCTATATGCAAATTGCAGTGGGTCCAGGGTGGCAGGCAGTGAGGAACAGATGATATCCCTGACCAGCCTCTCAAAGCATTTGCTTACGATGGAGGTCAGGGCAACAGGTCGCCAGTCGTTCAGACAGGTAATACTAGCTGTCTTTGGAACTGGCACAATGGTGGCTAGTTTGAAACTAGCTGGCACGACCGAGAGAGACAGTGAGGTGTTATAGATGTCTGCAAAAACTCCTGCTAGTTCCCTGTAGCAGGCTTTAAGCACTCTCCCGGGAATGCCATCTGGTCCTGCTGACTTGCGTGGGTTCACCCTCTTGAAGGCTTTGCACACATCAGCTACGGAGACGGAGGGGGGGTTGGGATCAGCGGTGGGCGGGGCGCTCTCCAGTGGTGCTGCAGGAATTCCGTCGAAGCGAGCGTAGAAGTTATTAAGCTCATCCGGCAGATCAGCGCTGGTACTGGGCAGAGTGCGAGAGGCAGTTTTATAGTCAGAGATTGTATTTAACCCCTGCCATAAGCTTCGTGTGTTGGCTGTGTTGAACTGTGCTTCCACTTTCATTCTGTACGCACGTTTAGCTGCTCTGATGGATTTACGGAGAGCGTAGTTGGATTGCTTGTACTCCTCCGTATTTCCCGCTCTGAATGCAGCGCTGCGTGCGCTGAGGGCGGAGCAAACCTCACAGTTCAGCCAGGGCTTCTGATTGGGGTAAACGCAGACTTGTCTGCAGGGCACTACGTCATCCACACACTTGCGTATGAAGGCAGTGACTGTGTCTGCGTACTCGTCCACGCTGCCCGACGAATCACGGAACATTTCCCAGTCCACATGATCAAAACAATCCTGCAGCATAGCGTCTGATTGGTCAGACCAGCGGCGCACCTCCCTGGTAGTGACCGGCCCCCGTTTCAGCTTCTGCCTATAGGTGGGCAGGAGCAGGATGGAGGAGTGATCTGATTTGCCGAACGGGGGTCGGGGGAGGGATTTGTAACAGTTCCGGATGCTGGAGTAAACATGGTCTAAAATCCTGTCTTTCCGAGTGAAACATGTTACGTGCTGGAATAATGTCGGACAGTAGGTTCGCAGGTTATTCCGATTAAAGTCCCCCGCAACAATAAGTGCAGCCTCCGGGCGCACGGTCATCTGCTTGCTGATAGCCTCGTGTAGCTTCCCGAGCGCGAGGTCCGAGTCCGCCTGCGGGGGGATGTACACCGCGGCCAGACAGAGTCCCATTATCTCACGGGGCAGCCACGCCGGCCGGCAAAACACGATGAGATATTCCAAATCCGGCGAGCAGAAAGACTCGATGAAATGTACATTCCTCCGATCACACCAAGCGTTATTGATCAGAAAACATACACCTCCTCCTTTGCTTTTCCCGGAGAGCTGCTTGGTTCTATCGGCACGGTGCAGAGAGAACCCGGCGGGTTCGATGGCATTATCAGGGACCTCATCGGATAACCACGTTTCTGTGAGGCAGATAACGCTGCAGTCCCGGATCTCTCGCTGGAAGGCGACCCGTGCATGAAGCTCACACAACTTGTTTTCCAAGGACTGCACGTTAGCCAGTAATATGGTGGGAAGAGACGGCCGATGGGCACGGCGTCTGAGTCTGACGAGCACGCCGGCTCTCTTGCCTCTTTTCCAGCGTCTTCGACGGGTGCGTGGCCGGGCGGCCCAGATGAGTGGCGCCTCTCCAGTGTTAGCAAACAAAGGATCGGCGTTATGGAACTCAAAGTCCGGTTTCCGGTGAGTGATCGACGATCTGATTTCCAGAAGTGTTTGTCGGTCGTAGGTGATAAAACCAGTAACATTTAGTGCAAAAAGAGTTAAAAACAAACACAAAAACAACAAAAAACTGCAAAAGTAAGCGGGAGCTCGCAACACGGCAGCCATACTCGGCGCCATCTTGGAAAGTTTTTAATTGATGCCAGAATACAACCAAACTACAAAAAAAGATACTTGAGTCCGTCATGTAGTACAGTGCTGTATGCACCCACCAGTTCATTTTTACTAATGCTTTTTGATTGGTTGTCTTCTGAAAAGTGACAAGACAAGCAGATCTATTTTCTGTTCCTATCGAATATTTTTTAATTTCAGCAGCTGTTTGGGTGAGGTTGAGAGAAGTGGCCATGTTTAAACACTTTAAGCATGGAAAAAGATTTTTGCTCATCATAACGTAGACCTACATGTAAAGAGCTATAAATGAAATGTTGCTCTCTTGAAAAAGTCTTTGCTGTTATTTATCTTAACACATTACAGGCCTAAGAAACACTCAAACTGAAATGATTCTTTTTTTTATATATTTTATTTATAACTTTACATTTATAACATAAACAGAAACATTTTGAATACACTCCCTTATCCCACCCCAATCCAACATCCAGACCTAAATAAATAAATAAATAAATAAATAAATAAAAGGAAAGAGAGGATGAAAGAAAAACATAACTAAGGTCCCTGTAACTTGTCCAAGAACTTATTCCACATCAAATGAAAATGTCTCTGAGCTTTTTTATCATAGCATCTCAGTCTCTCCATCTGGACAATGTGTGTCATCTCAGACAGCCATCTTTTAAAACAAGGGGCTGAGGATGATTTCCAGTTAAGAAGAATGACCTTTTTGGCAGCGACCATACTGGTCATTAGAACCTGCTGCTGAATTCAGGATAAATCAACCATAGACTCAGAATAGCCACAAATCGCAACAACAGGACCAGGAGACACTTGGATGTCAAGTAGATTAGAAAGAAATAAAAATATATTGGACCAAAAATCACGTAAGACTGGACAGAACCAAAACTGATGAGCCAAGGTGCCATCTGCAATCTCACACCTGTCACAAAGTGAAGACAATGATCCGCAGATCCTAGATAGCTTAGTCTTTGAGTAATGGAGTCTATACAGGACCTTGAACTGTATCAGCCTGTACTTTGAAATGCTAGAGCAATAGGAGATTCTGGACAGACTCTCTTCCCAGACCTCCTTGGACAAAGAAGTGCCAATATCTGCAGCCTATGCCTCCCTGAAGTGGTCAGTGTCCAGGGAGGAAAATAAGAGTGAAACAAACTTAGATATTAGGTGCTGAGAGTAAGGGTTAATAAAAAAAAATTAAAAAATGGATGATCTGTTGATTTATAAATGTAGTTTGGAATGTTTTTTTTGTACATAATGTCTGACCTGCAAATAATGAAAGAAGTGTGTATGAGGAAGACCATATTTATCTCTCAACTGTGTAAATGATGCAAATTTATTTTCTATATATAGATCACCAATACTAGATAACCCTTTATCAGCCCAAGTGGAAAATGCATGATCCATAACAGAAGGCAGAAAAAGATGATTAAGGAAGAGAGTTGTATGAATGGAGGCTACAGGAGATTTGAGGAAGTCCTTAATTTGGTTCAATATTTTAAGTGAATTCCTCAATATAAAATTTCTGCCAATCAGCCCACGAGCAGACCTTATGTTTGAAGACAAAAAACTAGCAAAGAAGATCCTGTAATTGACGTAACTTCCAGATCAACCCAACATGGCCTATCCTTTGACACTAGACTGTACGAAGATCCCAATTTCCAAAACATAAGAGCTCTAGCATTTGCAGCCCAGTAATAATGTTTAAGCACTGGTAAGGCCAATCCTCCATCTGAATAGGCCTTTGGTGGATGAATCTTAGAAATATGTGCTGTTTTATAACCCCATACAAATTGCATTATTATTGAATCCAACTGGTTAAAGAATGTAGCAGGCACAAAAATGTTTGAAAAATATACAAAAATTTTGGTAGTATCACCATTTTTATTGCATTGACTCAGCCTATCATAGACAAAGGAAGCGGACGCCAACGTTCAATGCCTGCCTTAAGTTTATCTACAATGCTTAAGAAATTTAACTTAAACAACAATTTGGGATTCCTTGGCACTTTAAGGCCATGATAAGTAAAATATTCATCAACCACTTTAAATGGTAGCGCATTTAAGAAAAGAGGATCTAAGGTTCCAGTCAGAGGCAAAAACTTGCTTTTGGCCCAGTTGATAGTATATCCTGATAATTTACCAAACAAATTTACATAATTTAAAAGACTAGGAACTGACGTGGCTGGATCTGAGATGTACAACAATAAATCATCGGCATAGAGACTAACCAAACATTTCACTTCCCCAAATTTAATACCATGTATTTTTGGGTGATTCCGTATTCCAATAGCCAGTGGCTCCAAAGAAATATTAAAAAGCAGAGGAGACAGAGGATCGCCTTGTCGCACCCCTCTGTACAATTTAAAAGGAGAAGAGTGGTCGCCGTTGGTTAATATAGATAAGGTCGGGGACAGATATAACATCCTCACGCACGTAATGAAAAAGTCTCCAAAGCCAAATCGATTGAGGACATTAAACATATATGGCCATTCAATTTGATCGAATGCCTTTTGAGCATCTAGTAAAATTATGGCTTCAGCCAAATCAACAGTACGATCTGAGTAGAGAATATTCAGCAGAAGCCGGACATTACAGAATGAAAATCTATTAGGTATGAACCCAGTTTGGTCTAAATGCACAATTTCAGAGATATGTATTGCCAGTCAAAGTGCCAAGATCTTCGAGAATATTTTTTGATCAAAATTCAATAAAGAAATGGGTCTAAAAGATGCAGGATCAGTAGCATCCTTCCCCTTCTTTTCCCCTTCCCCTTCTTTAAGATGAGACATATATTAGCCTCATATAATATGCTTTCATTGTCTCCAGACGAAATTGTACGTTCTTTTTAAAAAGAATTGCAACACCCCTGGCTTTAGATGTAAACGGTGCCTGATAAACTTGGGATATCCAATTAGCCCTAAGTTTTGACTGATATGTTGGAGATATACGTGTTTCCTGAAGGAAAATTATGTCCACTTTCAATGATTTTAGAAGAGAGAACACGCGCACACGCTTAATAGGATGCCCTAATCCCTTAACATTCCAAGAAGCTATCAAGATGCCACCAGTGCCAGAATCACTCATGTAAGCCATAGAATACGTTGAAAATCAATAAATGACAAAGAGACCAATCAAAAATATCCTCCCTACCAAGAACATTACTCTCAAAAAAACTAACATCCCTTCTCCCACCCCACCTCCCAATCAGCTCGCCTCCCATTGGAAGCACCGAAAACAGTCCCTAAATGCTGGGAACCGTGAACCTGCCAAATACCTCAACACGAAAGGAAGAAAAACTAAAATATTATACTCCGCCCCGCGATTAGGCATGCGTACATATAAATATATAAAGTAGGCTAAATCACCATCAATTTACCTGACAGAAACTCTATTTAAGTAGGCTAAATCCCCAAACAAAATTAACTTGAAGAGTAGAACGGAGCCTTGTATTAACTTAAAATTAAACATGCAGCAACAATAGTTATCATAAGGGACGTTCATCCAAGAGAACAGATATTAATGGTGAAAGTCAAAGCAGCGACTAGAAAGGGAAAAGGATCCCCTCTCTGCACTAGGAAGTCATTTCAAATGGAGTAATGCACCTCAAGTCTTAATTCCACCTTCCAGTTCTGCACGGAGAAAACACCTTGCTTCTTCCACTTCAGTGAAGGTCCCAGAGCGACCCCCACTGTCAATCTGAAGCCTTGCAGGAAAACGAAAAGAGTGTGAGATCCCTCGGTTCCTGAGTTCTTTCAGAAGATCCGAAAACTGCCTGCGTTTCTGTAGAACGGCCTCAGAATAGTCAGGAAAGATAGCAACTGGGCTACCCTGAAAATCAAGACGGGGGTGCTCTCTCCTGAGAATGTAGAAATTTCTCTTTTGTATGAAAGAGATGAATCCGAGCAATTATAGGGAGTGGCTTAGCCCCCTTGGCTGGCCACGGGTGCGCGCTCTGGTGAGCTCGGTCAACTATGATGGGCGAAGAAAAGTTCTCCTGACCGAGTAGCTTTGGTAACATATCTGCCATAAATTCCGTCGGTCGGTCATGCTCTGCACCCTCCGGGACACCAATGATCCTGATATTGTTCCAACGCGATCTATTTTCTTTGACTTTATAATGTTTTCCTGAATGTTTTCAAAGGTTCTTACAAGGGGATGATCAAGAAAGTGCTAATCTTAATTTACAGGATTAGAAATGTTTACATCAACCTCCTTCAAGACTCAGTGAGAAAGAGAAGACTGAGCTAAGAGAACTAATGCTTAAAGTACTGAAATACCGTTCCAGCACATTTCTCTAGTGTTTAAACACAGAGTAGCTCAGTTTTAGTACAAACAGGTCTGAAAGCTTTGGCGTCCTCCTGATTTCAGCATTATACCCTTTTTGTTTGCTGATCCCTTAATGTTAAAGAGGTCAGTGCAACAGCAATATTAATATTACATGGTTATGAATTGAAAATGTGTTTTTCCTTACCTGAGCAGATAACACCAGCATCTTGACCATGATTACAGCTGTGTGTGCCAAAACCCCTGTGAGAACAACTTTTGAGGGTGCCTTCACTTCCAGAACAACCAACATTATCCAGAAGTATTGGATCACTTCCTTGACCAAAGTGGGCACTGCGGGGGGCCGTGACCGCTCTGCCACATCTCATCTCTCTGCACACCACCACTGCATCGTTGAAGTCCCAGTTATTGTCACATACTGTTCCCCATTGGCCGTTATAATAGACCTCCACTCTACCAGAACACGAGTCAAATCCATTAACGAGCCTTAAGTCTGTCAAAATTAAAGAATAATGAACAATTTTATCAAACATGACCTTTTTAAAGGGAGTGTTTATATACAGTACCTTACAACAGTGAGTACACCCCTCACATTTCTGCAAATATTTTATTATATCTTTTCATGGGGCAACACTATAGAAATGAAACTTGGATATAACTTAAAGTGGTCAGTGTACAGCTTGTATAGCAGTATAGATTTACTGCCCTCTGAAAACAACTCTACACACAGCCATTAATGTCTAAATAGCTGGCAACACAAGCGAGTACATCTCAAAGTGAACATGTCCAAATTGTGCTCAAAGTGTCAATATTTTGTGTGATCACCATTATTATCTAACACTGCCTTATCCCTCTTGGGCATGGAATTCACCAGAGCTGCACAGGTTGCTACTGGAATCCTCTTCCAGTCCTCCATGATGACATCATGGAGCTGGTGGATGTTAGACACCTTGCACTCCTCCACCTTCTGCTTGAGGATGCCCCACAGGTGCTCAATTGGGTTTAGGTCTGGAGACATACTTGGCCAGTCCACCACCTTTACCTTCAGCTTCCTCAGCAAGGCAGATGTCATTTTGGAGGTGTGTTTGGGATCATTATCGTGTTGGAAAACACCATGCAGTGCAGTTTCCAAAAGGAACTTGGTACTCCTCAACATAGCCCCGCTATACATGCTGGACACCATCTGAGCCAAACAAGTTTATTTTGGTCTCGTCATGGACATGGTTCCAGTAATCCATATTCTTGGACGGCTTGTCTTCAGCAAACTGTTTGCGAGCTTTCTTGTGCATCAGCTTCAGAAGAGGCTTCCTTCTAGGACAACGGCCATGCAGACCGAGTTGATGCATTGTGCGGCGTATGGTCTGAGCACTGACAGGCTGACCTCCCACTTCTTCAACCTCTGCAGCAATGCTGGCAGCACTGGTGCAGCTATTTTTTGAAGCCAACCTCTGGATTTGACGCGAAACACGTGGACTCAACTTCTTTGGTCGACCCTGGCGAGGCCTGTTCCGAGTGGAACCTGTCCTGGAAAACCACTGTATGACCTTGGCCACCGTGCTATAGCTCAGTTTCAGGGTGTTAGCAATCTTCTTATAGCCTAGACCATCTTTGTGGAGAGCAACAACTCTATTTCTCACATCCTCAGAGAGTTATGTGCCATGTTCAATATCCAGTGGTCAGTGGCCAGAGAGAATTGTACCCAAAACAACAAATTTAACAGCCCTGCTCCCCATTCACACCTGGAAACTTGTAACTCTAACGAGTCACATGACACCAGGGAGGGACAACGACACCACTAGGCATAATTGGGCACAATTTGGACATGTTCACTGTGAGGTGTACTCACTTGTGTTGCCAGCTATTTAGACATTAATGGCTGTGTTTTGTTATTTTCAGAGGACAGTAAATCTATACTGCTGCACAAGCTGTACACTGACTACTTTAAGTTATATCCAAGTTTCATTTCTATAGTGTTGCCCCATGAAAAGATATAATAAAATATTTGCAGAAATGTGAGGGGTGTACTTACTTTTGTGAGATACTGTACACGTAAAAAAGTCTTAATTTTGGCAGATCCTATTTTGACATCCAGTGCGTTTCTGCAGACACAAGACGGGCTTTGATTCAAGCTGAGAAATACGGTAAGCACCTGGATTTAGCTTGCACCTAAACCTCACATATTTATTTAATAATAATAATAATAACAATAATAATGCTAAAGTATTATTATTATTAGGGTCCAAGCACGCAGTGCGTAGGACCCTATTGTTTTTGTTAGAGTTTTTTTTATTATTCTTCTTCTTTTTATTATTCTTTTTCTCCGATAAAACGAATCGCCCAGACCAAACCGTAAGTCCTAGAGACATGAAACTTGGTCAATAGGTAGTAGTCCCTCCCGCTACTCAGGTTCGCGAAATGAGCCCAATCGGCCTAAAGGTGGCGCTATTGCGCAACACAACGCGTTTGGCTTCATAATTCCTTCCCCAGATTTTTGCCAGACATGACATATTTTTTTCCTGATTCCTTGGGTCCAACAAAACAACTTTGTAATTTGGACCATTAAGCTCCGCCCACTTTTGAGCTAATTTGCATAATATGCGAAACCTACTTTTGCGAACTAGCCCTACAGTTTTCATCCAATCCTCATGTTTTTGGTGTCAAAAAATTCAGAAGAGCCTGAACCTCAATAATTATCCAGCACATTTTTAATTCTTTACTCAAAATGGCTGCCATATGCAAATAAATCCTTCTGGAAAAATCAAAATAATTCTTATTTAATTGAAAAATCTGTAACTCGAGAATTCTTCACCCAAAAAATTTGAAACTTGACAGGCTTATTCCTAAAGAGACTCTGAGGACACCTTTCAATTTTTGTGCGCATAAGTCATTAGGGGGCGCTGTAAATGCTATGTAGCTGTTTCTCAGCATCCGTACATCCGATCAAGTTGAAACTTTGCAAGTACCATCTATTCCAAAGACTATAAGTGAATCTTTCAGGACACTTTGAAAAATTTAAATTTGTGGCCGCCATCGGCCAATAAGCTTTCAGCAGCCATTTGACAGGCTTAGCATTGGCCAATCCTTATGATACTTGATATCTATCTCTATCTCACCACCTTCTAACAACCTGTGAAGTTTCAAAATATTTGGCCACTGGGGGGCGCTATTACAGAAAATCAAGTATATCTTGTACAGATTGTTATTTTTGGTCAAATAACTTAGATGCCCTCATGCAGTGCAGTGTTCCAAACCATTTTGTCATTTGAAGTCTATTAAAAAAGTGCTTAGTTTTTTTTCAATCGTCAAATGTTTGAAATTAGCACTTTTCGAACTACTCCGTGGAATTTGAAGCTACCTTCTCAAACCTAGTCTAGAAATACTCTGTAGCCTCTCTAGGTAAATAATTATCCAGCACATTTTCCATTTTTTGCTCATTGTGGTCTCCCTCCTTCACTAAATCATTGCGGCCATAGCATTGCTAGCTTAAACTGCTATAACTCATCAGTCCTTGGTCCGAACATCTCAAAACTTTAAGTTTGTTTATGCATTGAGACTCTGATGTGGCTTGCAAAATTTGTTCCTAATTGGCCAATAGGGGGCGCTTTAGCACTCAAAAACACCTAAAATCCTTAAAAATGTTGTTACAACAATACTACAAAGTCTACAGATAAATAAGGTGTCATTTGATTCAGTTCACTGATCTAATTGACTTTGTAATTACATGTTATATCATAAATTGTGCTCCTTTTCTGGTATTTTGAATTATTCATGTAAAGACTACAGCTTGTAATACCAAGGTCAAAAGGTCAATCTGAACAAAACTCAATGAAAATCTTTGACAAAGGTCCCTGATCAATATTCATAACATTTGAAGACCTTTGAACCAATTTTGACCCACTTTCACTGAGGTCCTTTATGCTTAAAAGGCCCTTATGGGTCCATTGGTTCTGTTTATGTCCTGCTTGTCAAAGCCTTTAACATGGAGAAACTAAATACTTTGCAAACACAACAAAGTCAGAAATGTTACCATTACTCATGTATTTCTACAAACCTTTTTAGATCAGTAAATTGAAATATAAACGTATATTAGGTTTTAAAGCCCGTGCTCATTGTTCTTGACAAATGAAGGCCTGTTGATAAACTCTGATTTCTTTTCGGCCTCTCTGCCTCGAAGGCCCAAAGTGCGTTAGGCCTTATTAGGCCTATTAGGCTTAAAATGCATGAGAGTTTCTTGGGCTTATGCGTGCTTGGACCCGCTCATTGCCGCTTGCGGCTATATTTGTTATTATTATTATTATTACTCACCATTTTTGCAGAGTTTGTGATAGTTACCAGAAAGGCTGCTTTATTAAGTCTTTAGTCATTTTCCCTGTGCTAGTAATCCTATTCGGTATACATTAAGCTAATGTATAAATCAGCTGATACAGTGCTATTTAACTAACTGATGCTGAAAACCTACAAAAACTACAAAAAAGAAGCCTGCGTGTGTCATGTAGTACAATCCTGTGTGCACACACCAGTTCAGTTTTACCCACGCTTCTTTGATTTGTTGTCTCCTGAAAAGTGACACAACGAGCAGAGCTTAAATTGAACTATTTTCTGTTTCTATCAAATATTTTTATTTCATCAGCTGGTTGGGTGAGGTTGAGAGAAGTGGCCATTTGTAAACACGTTTGAGTAAGACTGCAAAAATATTGTTGGTCATCATCATAATGTAGTTCTACATGTAAATTACTACAAAGGAAATATTACACCGTTGAAAAAGGCTTTGCTGTTGTTTATCTTACTGCATTACAGGCCTAAGAAACACTCAAACTGAAAATGGTTCTTAAACTTAAACATATCCCTGAACTTGCAATGCTGGTTACTGGTTTTATTTGGATAATCTAGCTCCTCATATTACGTGTGTCTAATCTATTTTCATTTTCATTATGAGTAATTATATCTATTTGTTGTATGTCACATCGCTAAAATATCTTAAATGTAAAAGGGAAAAACAGATTATTTAAAAATACGTTCTGGTTTGGAGAATTTAATGTAAAAAGTCTTCATTAGTTCTTGTGTTTTTGTTTACAGATTACAGATCGGTTAAAGGTGCTGACCCTCCACATGTAGACTTCATAATGTTTTCCTGAATATTTTCGAAGGTTCTTACAAGGGGATGGTCAGGAAAGTGCTCATCTAAATTTTCAGGATTATGAATGTTTATGTCAACCTTCTTCAAGACCCAGTGAGTAAGAGTTGTTAAGAGAACTAATGTTTAGCATTCCAGCACACTTCTCTAGTGTTACACAGAGTAGCTGAGTTTTAGCACAACCAGGTCTGAAAGCTTTGGGGTCCTCCTGATTTCAGCTTTATATGCTTTGTATTTTTACTGACTACTTAATGTTAATTGATTAGAGGGGTCAGTGCAGCAGCAATATCAATATTAGATGGTTATCAATAGAAAATGAGTTTTCCTTGCCTGAGCAGATAACACCAGCATCTTCACCATGACCACAGTTGTGTCTGCCAAATCCCTGATGAGAGCAACCAGAGAGAGAGCGTTCACTTCCAGAACAAGCAACATCATCCAGAAGTATTTGGCCACTTCCTTGACCAAAGTGGGCACTGTGAAGGGCGCTGACCGCTCTACCACATCCCATCTCTCTGCACACCACCGCTGCATCATTCAAGTCCCAGCCATCATCACACACTGTTCCCCACCGGCCGTTATGATAGACCTCCACTCTACCAGAACACTTGTCAAATCCATTAACGAGTCTTAAGTCTGTCACGAATAAAGAATAATGAACAGTTTTATCAAACATGGACTTTTTAAAAGGGATTGCAACATGGTTTTTATAGACGTAAAAAAGTATTGTTGTTTGCACATTCTAATTTGACATGCAACATATTTCTGCAGACACAAGACTTTGATTCAAGCTGAGAAGTACAATAAGCACCTGTATTTAACTTGCAACAAAGCCTCTCTCATTTTTCTTTCATTATAATTAATATTATCATTATTTGTTCATATTATTATTGTTCTTATTATTACCAGGGGTGTAAAGAGAAATTCCTGTTACCATAAAAAGTACTGTTACCATACGTATACCTTACTTGAGTAAAAGTATTAATAAAGAAAATAATTAAATTACTCAAACAATAGTAAAAGAGTAAATTTATTTGAAAAACACTTGAGCAGATGAGTTACTTTTTTGTAACTCCAATCAGTTCAGAAATATTTATTTAGTTGATCTAGCGATTTTATTCAAAATAATCTGTACAAACTAAAGTCAAACATGCTGTTATATGATTAAAAAAATATATCTGTGCTGAGTCTAATCACAGTACGCTCTGCTAGTGAACACATCTTTCTGTAATCTGTGAAAGGGACAAGTTTACATTAAACTACAAGCATGATTAAGAGTCAAAATAATGGATTACGCTATTTGTAGCTCCCTAAAGTTAGCTTATGTTAATAGATGTCAACCTCCACAGACATTAAACATTTACATTTATAACCTTCAAACTGTGTTAATTAACTAATGCCATTATAGTAAATTTCTACTACAAAAGTCATGTGCAACAACAGCAATTTATCCAGTTTTGATTTTCTTTACTGAGATATGGTAACCGTACCATTTATTTCATGTACAATCAGAAATGAATATTCACTTTATTTCACAGTTAAACAGCTAAACCAAGAGCAGCAAGCTGTGCTCTGTAATGAACTGGCTGAACAAAGTCTCTGATGCTGTAGTACTGTCTGTAAGGTGAGACTGAGGATCAAATGTATATTTGCAAATTCATTTTTAAGTAAATCCGGGGTTACACTACACAAGGTCAGACACTGATGTTGGACGAGAGGGCCTGGCTCACAATCTCCGTTCTAGTTCATCCCGGTGTTGGGGATGGGGTTGAGGTCAGGGCTCTGTGAGGTTCAGTCAAGTTTTTCCACAGCAAACTCACCCAGCCAGGCCTTTATGGAGCTGCTTAGGGCACTGCAGCTCAGTCAGGCTGGAACAGAAAACGTTCTTCCCCAAACTGTTCCCACAAAGTTGGAAGGATACAATTGTCCAAAATGTCTTGGTCTGCTGAGGCATTAAGATTTCCCTGGAACTAAGGGTCCTAGGCCAACCCCTGAAAAACAGCCCCATAGCATCATCCCTCCTCCACCAAACTTTACAGCTGGCACAGTGCAGTCAGGCAGGCAACGTTCTTGTCCATCAGACTGACAGATAGAGAAGCCTGATTTATCACTACACAGAATGCGTATTCACTGCTCCAGAGTCCAGCGGCGGCACTTTACTCCACTCCATACGACGGTTGGCATTGTGCATTTTGATCTTAGGCTTGTGTGTAGCTGCTCGGCCATGGAAACCCATTTCGTAAATCTCCTAACACGCAGTTCTTTTGATGAAGTTGCTTCCAGAGGCAATTAGGAACTCTAGTGATGATTCAGACAGAGGATAGACACTGTGCGCTTCAGCACTTGGCAGACCCACTCTGTGAGTTTGCGTGGTCTACCGCTTTGTGGCTAAGGTGTTGTTGCTTCTGGATGCTTCCATTTCACAATAATCACACTTACAGTTGACTGGGGCAGATCTAGCAGGACAGAAATCTCACTGACTTGTGGCAGAGGTGGCATCCTATGACAGTACTATGTTTAAGTCACTGAGCTCATCAGTTCGACCCTCTACTGCCAGTGTTTGTCTATGGAGACTGCAAGGCTATGTGCTTAATTTTATCCACCTGTTAGCAATAGGCTGAAACACCTGAACTCAAAAATTAGGAGGGGTGTCTCAATACTTTGTCCATATAGTGTATGTCCTAAGTCCTAGGAATATGTCCTAGTCTGGAGAGTTTTGTCTTCCTTCGAGACCCAGTAGGTAAGATTTGGCTGAGCTAAGAAAAAGAATCTACTAATGTAAATAAACTAATGTTTATACTGCAATGCCATACCAGCGCACTTCTCTAGTGTTTTAAACCAAAGGAGGGGTCAGTGCAGCAGCAACATCAATATTACATGGTTATTCACAGAAAATGAGTTTTTCCCTACCTGAGCAGATAACACCAGCATCTTCACCATGACTGCAGTCGTGTTTGTAAAATCCATTATGAGAGCAACTTGTGAGGGCACTTTCACTTCCAGAACAACGAACCTCATCCAGAACTATATAGCCACTTCCCTGACCAAAGTAGGCACTGTGAAGGGCGCTGACGGCTCTGCCACATCCCATCTCTCTGCACACCACCACTGCATCACTGATGTCCCAGCCATCATCACACACTGTTCCCCACTGGCCGAATAAACGATAAGAATAAAAATAGATCTCCACTCTACCAGAACATCTGTCAAATCCATTGACGAGTCTTATATTCAAGCCATCTGCCACAAATAGAATAAGAAAAATGAATAATGACCAGATTTAAAAACCAGGGCTTTTAAAAAGGAATTGCCACAAGTATTTATAGATGTAAAACGTCTGCATGCCCTAATTTGACATGAAACACATTTCTTCAGGCACAGTGCTTTCAGTAATGAGTCCTCTACAGCATGTAATTCATACTGAACCCCGTTATTCAGTGAACAGGAAACTTACCAGACAACAGTGCAGCACTGAAAATACTGGTTACTAAAAAAGAGAAGAGATTTTTTGTTAAATTAGCAGTTAGAGCTGTTCAGTGAGACAGAAACGTCTCATTCAGTTGTCATACATTTCCATGACAGGTTCAACATTTCAATGAAACTTCTTCAGAGCATTATTAATTATATACCTCAAATTTCAGTTATGTGAAAGGGCTGAAACGTTAAATGATTCAGTGACTTCTGTAAGGACACATTTAATTTTGTTCCCATCTGAAGTGTCAGTGAAAAAGCATTTATGGGTGAGTGTGATTTTGTTTAATAATGAAAATCATCATGAAGAAAATAATTAAATTTAAAAAGTAAATTAAACTTAAACCTGGTCTAACGATTTCAAACTTTTCATGTGAGCGCTTGTGTCAGCTTCTGGGCATTTCTGAGATTTTCGTGGGAACGATCATAACCTTTATTTAAACTTGGAACACATTGAGGGAGATCCTCATTTACAATGCAGCCGAGCAATCCAGAAATCAGGGATTGAGAAGTTGGACAGTAAAAATAAATCAAAATAATAATCATAATAGTAAAAATTAATAATAGGAAGGTGCCAATAAACCATTAAATCAATAAACCATTAAAATTACAATATAGTCACTTCACACGTAACAGATCTGATAAGGATAAAATAAATAAAAACATAAATTAATGAAATAAAAGAAACAGAAGATGTAAGACAATAAACTGACAATAATAAAATAATACTAATAAAAGAAATAAAAAGAAAAAAATGAAGGAAAAAAAATAAAGAAGTAAAAAGTAAAAAAGTATAAAAAAAGTAAAAGTACAAAAGTAAAACAACAACTTAGAAGTGGTTTAGACTCAGTTTTTTTTCCCAAGCCTCTTTGAAACTACCAGAGTTGTGTGTACGTGAGACTATCAGACGCTCGTGGGGCCGGAGCAGTATCATGGGGCAGAATTATTTTTATAAAAACAGTAACTGCACTGTACATGCAAACATAGCATGTTTTACATTCTCTTTACATTTATGTTTAAAAAGTGCAATTGTGATATAGTCAGTGAGATAATTACCATGTAGTTTTACTGCAATGTGCATGAATAGTTTTATTAGTTCCTGAAACCAACACAAAATACTGTTTAGACTGTGAAGTTTTATAAAAGTAGAAATTAATCTGCTTTTGATTTTTAGCGTTTGAAGAATGCTATAAAAATTTGATTGTTTATGTCTCCAAACATGCACAAGGGGGCGCTCTCACTGCTTTTAGCTGTCCTCAGGCTTGAGTTTGACCTAGTTAATCACATTACCCTTGATAGATGCAATTGCCAGATGTGTGCCCCATAATTTTATTACAGTGGTCTAAACCCTACCTCAGCTAGCACTTCAGCTCTATGGTGATAAACAGTAGTAAATAGTCAGGAAGCTGGATTTACATCAACAGAAACCAAAACTGCAGCACCCTTCACTATAAAGAATGTGTCCACTCATCACAGCCACAACTTCTGCCCAATGAAGATGCCATAACCGCATTAAAACCACACAGCTGAGATATAAATTACAAAGAGGACAAAACACAAAAAACTTAAAAACCTAAACCTGTGCAAAGATGATGAAAAACAACACAGCAGACTTAAAAACGTAAAGCAAACTGCAACTGCAAGTAACGGTAGATGTTTGCTTTGGCATTTTTACAAATTTTAAGTACCGAATTCACAGAAAACTGATGACCTTTTTCTCATTTATTTTGGGCTTTCAAAACTCCATACTTTACCGGAGGGAATCTCACATTTCAACATCCCCAGTTTCAAACACCGGCACGCTGATGATGAGCTGCAGGTTAAAGTTTTGGCAGACAGCAATAGATGCTAAGCAGCGACTGGAGGGCAGAGATAAAACTTCATCATAGAGGAAAGGCTTTGGAATATGTCTTACATTGTTTGGAACATAAATTGTTTTTGTTTGAGCAAAAGTATTGCGACAAATTAAATTGCTAAAATACACTACACTACATTTGAGTGGTGCTCAAACCACTAAGCAAATCTCTGCATGAAATCTGCAGAGTGAATAAGGTGAAGAAAGAAAAATAATAAAAAAGATATACTATTCAACACTAATCCAAACCAATTCTTGAAATGAAGTAGTAATAAGAAACTTGAGCTGCACAGAAATCAAGAGTTTGGTTCTGACAAAAGAACAAAAACACACACTGATCTTTTCTATTACTATGCAGAAAATCCCCAAATTGTGAAGGCCACACTTCAAAAACTTCTCAGCATTAAAATCATCATCATCATCTTTAACCACTCGACCAAGCTAGGTTAATGGTAGCAGCAAGGAAAGCAGAGAATCCCTGATGACCCTGTTCCTTGCAGCTTCCTCCAGCTCATTCTTGGGGAACCCAAGCTGCTCCTAGGCCAACAAGATACAATCTCTGCAGCAAGGCCTAGGACAACCTCGTGGTCTCGTCCCAATAGGCCACGCCTGGTAAACCTACAACGGGAGGCAGCCAGGAAGCATCCTACTCAGACGAACCACCTCAACTGGCTCCTCTCAGTGTGGAGCAGTAGCGGCTCTGAGCTCCTCCCGGGTGACTGAGCTCCTCACCCTGTCAGTAGAGTGTAGCCCACCACCCTGCGAAGAGGCTCATTTCTACCGCTTATATCTGTGATCTCATTCTTTCTATCATTTCCCAAAGCTCATGACCGTAGGTGAGGGTGATGATGTAGACTGACTGGTAAACAGAGAGCTTTGCCTTATGGCTCAGCTCCCTCTTCTCCACTACAGTCCAGTACAGTGACTGCATTACTGCTGCCGCCTGTCCCAGCCTGCGGCCGATCTCACCATCCCTCTTCCCATCATTTGTGAACAAGACCCCAAAATACTTGAACTCCTCCGCCAGGGGCAAACTTTCTCCGCCATTCAAGTTCTCTGTCAGTAATTATATTTGTTTTGGGCCATTTCATTGGGTAAAATAATAAGATACATGTCAGGATTAATAAAATTCTCAAAAAATATTCTTTCATAGTAAAGTTTACCAAGACTGCTAAGGAATCTGATACCAAAGGTAAAATAAACAAACTATTTAAACCACAATGATAAAATGCAAACACTATGTGTACTTATGTTCTACTATATATATAATAATTAAAACCAGTAATATCCACACAAAAACACTACAAAGAAAATATGCAAAAGATGGCTGAAAAAGGAGGGAAAGTGATTGGTTGAAACCGTTCATAATGCTTTGTGGGATATGTAGTTCATTCAGAGATTAAAAACATTATGTTTTAATTTGTACCTTTTGCTTTTTTTTATTCATTTTTCAAAAATAATTTATCTCAATCACATTTGTTTGAATATGCAGTCTATGCAAAGATAATATTATTATAGTTAAGGCAACTTGAATATATCAATAACTCAAAATTGCAGTGAATGCAGGTAGAATATTAGAATTCTAATCTGACAATTTTTCTGCAAACAAATTGGTTTCATATTACTGAAAACATTGATTTTAAATGTCTCAATACAGATTCTGTAGTTTTAAAATTATAATGTATATTTTGAATTCAGTATCTAAACGTATATTAAAGATACAGTAATTCTATCAAAAAGTGTTATTTGTTATAAAAATGAACAAAACTCTTCTTTACAATTAAACTACAGACACAACATGGAAAATATTTAATGCTGTCAATAGTGCTACTGCAAAAATAAAATGCTAAAATTTATAATTTACCGAGCATTAAAATGAGACGAGGTCTCAGCATCCTGATCCTGATCCACTTGTTCAGTTTGATTTGAATCACAGTGTGCACTGCTGCTGTCCTCACTCTTAACTCGTTTCACTCTGAAGCACTGATGGCCGTGTTTTATGAGGCTATAGAGCCTGAGTTTCTGTTCCCCTTTTGCAGTTTTTTCGTATTTTGTACAAGCCAAAACTCATACAGTTATTACCTCAACTAAGACTGCAAACTTTCATTAATTAGTCCTTTAAATTCAACTCCAGAAAGTGTTTACTGTAATAGTGTGTGTACTTTTGGGAGTTGATGTGACCAAAATACATTTTATGTATGTTTTAAGGCTCTACTGCTAGCAACCTTTTTCTGTGTCAGAATACAAAAATATAGAGTGATTCTGGAATCAATAAAGTTTCCCACAATGCACTTTTAATTTTTAGTGAACACAATAAAATAGAACAGTACTTCAGCTGAACTGCATTTTATGCAGTTTATGAGACTTTACGCAATAACTATAGCTAATGTTAACAGTAGTTGGTGAACCACTGTGAACTACCTGGCCTAATTTACTATTGTTTATGTTACTATTGTTTTTTTTGATGATTGCCTGCCTGCAAACTTTACTGTAAAAACCACAGTCTGTGGTTGGTTTTTCTTTCAAAGTGAGAAACTGAGCAACATAACAGCACTGAAAAATAAAACAAGTAGCAAAAACACTGACTGGTTGATAAGAGTGTCTTAATTCATTATGTGTTTTTATTAGGGCTATAAAATATGTATTGATAGGTTGTTTAATATAGACAATTCATTAAGATAACAGAAGCTAAAGGTCAACACAAAGTTCACTTATTTTTTCCAATAAAGAGTTTTACAGCAGATCCAACTTGTAATGGCATACTTTAGCTTTTCATTCATGTAACGTCTTCTCCTGCAAAAGACTAACAATAATGGGCTAAAATAACAGCAGCCTGTAGACTAACCTAACATGACACTAAATAGTTTTAAATAGATCTGGCTATTTTATTATTTCAAC